TTAGGCAAGTTGCTTCACGTTATCTCCTCCCTGTCACATAGCAGCAGCTCACCATGTCCTGGGCACTGTGCCAGGCGTCTGGCTGATGATCTTCCACCACTCACAGCAACCCCCCAGGATAGGTGCTATTACCGTCTTCATCTTACCAATGAGGGTAGTACAGTTCAGAGAGGGCAAGTACCTGATCCAAGGTCACACAGCTGGCAAACAGCAACACCAGGAAGCATGTCATGGTACTTTTGATCTGTGCCATGGCTGTTAGCACTTATTGCCTGGGACATGTGTTCAATAAACATCTAACAAATAGACAAGAGTGTCCTGGAGACTTGGCTCCTGGCTCCAGTTCCCTTCTGCAAAGCTGTCTCTCATTAGCAGCAGGCAGGTACAGGTTGGCAAATAAAATGCACCCTGCCTCTGTGTTGGCACATAAGTTGCTTCACTGCCTACAAACAGGGAAGCAGGAAAAGCAGAAAGAGATACTTCCGCAAACAGCTTCATCTGTCATCCACCCTTTAATGAGGCCCCTCCTTTCTGCTTACACTGAAGAAACCCTGGACTTCTTCATCTCTCTCCACAATCCCTCACTACAGCTGTGGATGAGCATGTGAGGCCTGGAGCCACAGCATGACTGGCAGGGAGAGGAGTACCAGGCAGAGAGAGAGGGACTGCAGGGGCTGAGCACAGCTCTGGATCCCTAGGGACAGGGATGTGAAGTGAGTGGCCTCAAGGTCACAGTGACCCTGCTGTGATCACACTGCACGCACATTCTGCATCTTGCCTTTTTTTTTTGTACCAGGGATCAAACTCGGGACCTTGCACTTGCAAGGCAGGCAGCGGAACAACTAAGCTAAATTCTAGGCCCATGCATCTTGTCTTTTTTAAAAAAAATTTATTTTTATTAGTACATCAGCACATAATGATTACATTCATTGTGGGCAATTGGTGCATGTACATAACAAATTTGAATTCTGTTTCTGTCCCTTCCCTGCCCCTCCCCCGCCATTTCTTTTTACATTTGCTTCCCATTTGCAAAAGATCTATCTCCTTGTTTCCTATTATCTATCTTTAATTTTGCTCAATAATTTATTTATACTTTGAGTTTCTCATATAAGAGAAACCATGCAATATTTAAGCTTGTGTGTCTGATTTATTGCACTTAACATTATGGTTCCAAGGAACATCCATTTCCTACAAATGGCTCAAATTTAGCCTTCTTTTTTTTGGTACTGGGGATTGAACTTGGGTCCTTGCGCTTGTGGGGCAGGCAGCGGAACCGCTGAGCTAAATCCCCGGCCCTATATTTTTAGTTTTGTGAAGACTCTCCGTACTGATTTCCATAATGGTTGTACCAGTTTATATTTCCACCAACAATGTAGAATGGCTCCTTTTTCCTTGAAGCCTCACCAGCATTGTCTTATCTTTGTCACTTAGTAATATCTCGTGGAAATCTCTCCTGTCAGTGGGGTATTTTCCTATTCATCCTTTTTTTAAAACAGGGAGGGTCCCGCCATGTAGTCCAGGCTGGCCTAGAACTTGCAGCAGTCCTCCTGCCTTGGCCTCCCAAGTGCTGAGATTAAAGGTGTGTGCCACCATGCCTGGCTGTATTTGTCCTTTTAAAATGATTCAAGAATTTTTGAGGATTTCTTTTTTTTTTTAGTACCAGTGATCAAACTCAGGACCTTTCGCTTGCGAGGCAGGCGTCGGAACCACTGGGGTAAATCCAGCTCAGTGGTTCCACCACCTGCCTAGAAAGCATAAGGTTCCGAGTTCGATCCCCATACCAAAAATAAGTAAATAAATAAAATGATGCTATCATGGTCCCAGGTGTGGAACGTACCATAGCATCCTCACCCAGATCCCTTGATCAACAGCTACTCTTTCCATATTTTTTGCAATAGTTCAGAAAGAGGTGAAGTTTGGTTTTGGTTTGGTTTTGATTTTGGCACTAGAGGTTGAACCCAGGGGCTCTCTACCACTGACCTACATCCCCAGCCCTTTTTATGTTTTGTTTTAAGACAGGATCTTGTTAAGTTACCCAGGATGGACTCAAACTTACAATCCCTTTGCCTCAGTCTCCCTCAGTACTAGGGTCCAGATGTGCACCACCATGTCTGGCTAAGAGTTGGGATTTTAAAACAAGACATGCATCAGACCCCCCAGGGAACCTGTGCAATGTACAGATATCCTTGGGCCCAGGGATTCAGCCAGGGGAGCCTGGCTGGAGGGGCCCCAGGATCTGTAGTTACAAATGCTCTCTGGGGAACTCTCATGCGCCATGTTTAAGAACCACTGGCCCAGTAGAATGATTTGAATGGAACTGTCTGGTTGCTGGAGGTGCTACCAAAGCCCAAGTGACTACCAGATAAAGGAGACTCTGGTTTCTGAAATTGCTGACTCTAGGTGAAAGGTTGTGGGGAGGGGCAGATGCTTAGGAGGACATTAGGGGTCACTAAGTAGGTCACTGCTGTTCTCCCCTGGCTACACATTAAAGGCACCAGGCTGCATGGTACAGCGTCCAGGCAGAATCTCAGGGGCTGGGGACGGGGTGGCTCTGCTAGGTTTAAAAGATGTCGAGGTGATCCTAACCTGCAGATGGGCTGAGGACCACTGTTGTGGCTAGTTAAGCACTCAGGTAAAAAGGTCACCTAGCTCTGTGACCTGGACAATTCTTTCATTTCACCATGCCTCAGTTTCCCCATTGGTAAAGCGAGGGTCATCCTGACAACATGTGAAAGAGTAAAGTGCTCAGCACACACCTGGCACACCATTTGTGCTCAGCATCATTACGCTGCAGGGGACCTGGGGTGACCCTGACTTTGTAGGAAATGACAGTTCCCATGGTCTCTGTCCAGTCGTCCTCCCCTAGATCCCCAGCCTCCACCCTCTCTCCCCCTGCCAGGGGCTGCTGGGAACCTCAGGGTTGGTCAACTTCCTGCCAACGCCCTGCAGTTACTTATGCCAAATAGAGCATGAGTCCGACCATGCAGAGATATCAATCCCCTTTATGAGGACAGCCCTGGCTCCTGTCCCCATGTAGCTGAGACCAGCAGGTTGAGATCCAGGAGTGGCTGGGAAACAACCCCCTCCCTAGACACCAGGTCTGACCTCTGGCTCTCGAGGGGTATCCATCCCTCCTAGAATGCAGGACACAGGGATGTATCAACACAGTGGTTCCTAGGATACCTGGAGGGTATCTTGTGGCAGACATCCTTTTGGGGGGGCAATACTGGGGATTGAACCCAGAAACCATGCACTGAGCTACATCCCCAGCCTTTTTTATTTATTTATTATTTTAAATTTTGAGAGAGGCTCTCACTAAGTTGCCCAAGCTGGGCTTGGACTTTGCTATTCTCCTGCCTCAGCCTCCCAGAGTGCTGGGATTATAAGTGTGTGCCACCACACTCAGCTAGCAGTCACCATTTATTGACCACTTACTATATGCACATGCCACCAACATTCCTGAGTTACCCTACTTCATCCCAGGTAAGCTCTAGGCAGCAGGAATACTGTGCTCATCTTGCAGAGGAGGAAGCCGAGGCTCACAGGGGCTCAGGGCACAGCTGGGAAGAATGGGACCAGCATCTGACAGTCCAACTTCAAAGGGGTCCAGGCCACAGGTGGAAAGGGGAGGGTCTCTTCGGTAGCTGCCCCTTTCCCCAGGTCAAGGCTGCCCACTGTGTGGGAAGAGACTTGTTGGGCTGGGGTGGGGAGGAAGTTTCCCTGTGTAACCTCAGGCCTCACCCTGGTCTCCCTGGGGTTTCCAGGCTAAAACTCAGGCCCCAGGAGGGACAAGGCAGTGTTGTGTGAGCAGCTGTCCGGGAAGGCAGTGGCGGTGGAGGTGGCCTTTGTGTCCATGGAGCCCAGGCCTCAGCCCAGCCTCGCCGAGGGAGCAGGCCCATTGCAGTTTTCTTCTTGCTGACTTTGGGAAACTCTTGGGGGTGCTGCTCTGGATATGGATTTCAAAGGAGCCACATATGGTCCACCTCACAGAGGCCAGAGGGCCTGATGGCTGTGGAAGGTGGCATGAAGGTCTCCCGGAGATGTCCACATCCCAACCCCAAGAAGCTGTGAGCAGGTTACCTTCCTGGCAGTGAGGGCTAAGGCTGCAGGTGGGATGCAGCAGCTCACAGGATGACCTACAGAAGAAGAGCAGCCTGGCTCATCGCGGTGGCTCAGTGTGATCATCAGGGCCCTTCCAGTGGAGAAGGGAGGGAGAAGAGCCAGAGCCAGAGGAGTGGAGGACCCTGGCTTTGCAGATGGAGGGGAAGCTGGTGTGTTCTCCAGGTCAGAGAGATGAGCAGGGACTAGACGGGATGCAAGCAGAAGAGTTCCCTGGTGCTCTGCAGTGGGCGTCAGCGGCTGGACAGGAACTTTTAGGGTCCAGTACCTGTCCTTGCTGGGGAAGACCCTGCCACCCAATGACTGCTGACCTCCCCTCAGGTGGTTTCTTTGCTTCTGATAAGGCCCTCCAGAGAGAACTGGTTTAAGCCAGCCAAAGCCACCCAGCCCCTCATCTACATGCCCTAGAGTAAGCTTTGCTCATTATAACCTCATTATAATAATGAGTTCTCTGCTCCAAGGTGGTCCCCTCTGTCTTGTTTAAACCTTGGAAAGTGAAGCTGCAGGATCTCGGTCTGCGCATGCGCAGGAAAGCGTATGCCCCCCCCCCGCGCCCCCGCAGAAGCCTGCAAAGTCCCACCCAGAAGAATCCCCTCGTTTATGAAATCCCGGAACCTAGATCTGTCCCCCAAGCTTGCTTTTGTGCGTCTATATTGTCACAGCTGTCTGTGACAGCCCTGGTTCGTTTCTGTAGCCGAGCCAAAGCAGCCACACCACGTCACCCACGTTTGGTTGATCAGCCCTGCATTCTCAGGTGGCAGCCGAGCAAATATGTCCACAGCAAGAAACTCCCCCACCACTGCCATCTTCTTCTAAGCCCAAAGAATGGCAAAATGATGCCCACACCATGTGTGTTTCTGTTGATTTATTAGCCAGTGAAAGAAACCCAGCTGGACCCTCACAGAACACACATAGCTGACACACGTCTTGCCCACCCTCTGCGCTTGGAACAGGTTCATTCCCAATGCTGTCCCCTCTAGAGCTGTCTCCTGGCTCTGTAGTGTGGCAGGGTGTCAACAGAAGGCTGAGGGCCATGTCTGTCAGGCTCTCCCCTCTTGCACAACGTGGTCACCAGGGTCAACTCTGTGCGATATGAGAGGCACTTTTCATCCTTGGACCCAGGCCTCTGAATCTCCAACATCCCCAGATCCTCTCACCTCCAAGAAATTCCAGGAGGATTTTGGACAAAGCCGGCTTTCTGAATGTCAGATGGAGGAGTTTGTAAGGTTAAGATACAACTGTCATTGCATCCAAGCCCATCGACTGGCATCGACCATGTGAAGGCTCAGGCAGGGGGCACAGAGGGGCTTTGGACATGGACCTGCAGCTCCACCCTGTCTGTGTAGAGCGGTGTGACTCTAGGGTCTCCCCTGAAGGGCAGGAGGCAACCAGGCCAAAGCAAAATCCAGGGTCTTCCTCGGTGAGCACGTGCAGGACAAGAGGGCTGATGAGAAGGATGTTTCTAGACCCCAAAGTGAACTTGGTGCCAAATAGAAGGTTTAGGGTGTTGAGAAAAGGGATTAGGGGAGTTACCATGGATTATGTTAATCCACATGGGAGGGCACAAGAAATGAAGTCCTTTACAGGAGGCCAAGAGGATTCCTGTTGGGGAGCCAAACAGGTTGCAGGTGGGGCATGGACCCTTGTAGGGAAGAGGCTTCTGAGGGGACAGTCATCCTCAGCATTCTGTCTGGAACCTGGGGGTCTCTAGATGCTCACTATTCAGAGGCCAGCCTCCCATTCCCCACCCAGGGAGGAAGTGGGCAGGAGCAGGCTCAGGGCACCATGTTCCACCACTTGAAGTCAAAGGGCTTCCGGCGCACATTGGTGCCACAGTGCACCTCCCCGTGCAGCAGGTGGTATGGGGTGAAGTCATCAATGAAGGTGCAGTGAAGGCCTAGTGGCTCCAGCAGTGAGCGTACCTTCTCCTCTAGGCAGCAGCGGCCGTTGATGACCGGCCCAAAGGGCTTGGGGATGCCCAGGTACTTGCCCAGCACCAGCATGTTCACCTGCAGAGAGGTGGGGGGCTCAGCTCTTCACCATCAGTGCCCCCCACACACACCTACCCTGCTGGACCTTGAAGGCAGCCTTGAAGATAGCTACTGGCCTGCTTCTGTGCAGTGGGAGGGAATGGGGCTGGTAAGAGCCCATTAGCTGGTGCCTGTGTGAGCTCTGCAGAGCTCGCCTTGGTGACTTTCTCTGCAACTGCTTCCCTATTGGATTGGTGCACCTTGATGGCCACCATGTTTGTGCTACAGAATCCCAACCTCCTAGGCCATAGCTCATTGGACCAGGGCAGGTGTCTGCCTAAGATGGACCAATAAGATTCCCTCTCCTAGGGCGTTGAAGTTGACATCAGGAAAGCCCCAGCCTCAACCTGTGCCCGAACTACAGTGCATGGCCTTGCTCACATCTGTCCCCAGGGCAGGGCAGCAAAGGAGTCAAGCTAGAGGGAAAGGAAGAAGAGTAGGAAGGAGAGAGAATCATGTAGACACAGAAATAGGAGCCCATTCCAGGCCTGTGGAGGCCCTGCTGCACCTGTTCCTGCCCTTAGGTCCTTATGTCAAATCTTCCTCCGGTTGAAGCCAGCTTGGGTTACCTCTGTTTGTTGCTAACACAAGAACCTGAACCATTGCTCAAGCTTCTGGGAGCAATGCACAGTTACAGAGCCATAGGGAAGAAACATGCAGGAAGGAAGTGGTGATGGGAGGTTTGGCAAGGGAGGGCAAAGCCAGAAGGCGGAAGGAAAAGGGAATGAAGCAATGTGGTGTGGACAGGCTCCCCACAGCACCAATGATGGTAACCTGAGCTCCTCTGGAGGGTGGAGGGAGGGGAGGAAGGGAGGAGGCAGGAAGAGAGAGTGACCCAAAGGCAGTGCCACCTGGGCACTTGTTTAGTGAGGAAGCAGCGTCATTGGGACCCTTCCCCCAGGCCAGCTGAATCAAGACACTTGAGCCCCAGCTGTCCACGATTTTCAGATACAAGCTCAAGATTCAGAGACCTCAGAAGCAAAGCCCTAAGAGTCCATCAAAGCCCCCCTCCCCCAGTTTTCTTGAATGTCCACTCTACCTCTCAGTCAGGGAGTGGTCTGTCCCACAGCCAAACTGCCACACGCTTTATTATATGGAGTAGATGGCTAGGACATGTCCTCAGGGAGGTGGGGAGAGGAGAGAAGCTCCATGAGAAGATCAGAGTGAAGCTCCTGGAGACCAGGGACCATCCTGGGTCACCCCTGTACCTCCTACAGGACACCTAATACATGTTCCGTCCTGGGAGGATGGAAGTCAAGCCAAAAGGGCCCCTGAGCTCCAAGATGCCACGTGCTTTGTATACGTGACCTCATGCTGTCATTCATTCACTCCATGAATGTCAAGTGGGGCTCTCCCCCGATGGCTCCCAAGCCAGAGCTCAGCCAGCTGCAGGGACCATGGTGATCAGCCACCGGAAGTCATGGTGTCAGCCTGGATACCATGGGACCCCTGAGTCTTCTCACCCCTCCCTCTGTCTCTCTCCCCTGACCACCAGAGGCTTGGAGCCTCATCTAGGGAAGCCCCAGGTCCTGGCAGTGGCCTCACCAAGTCAGGGAAGAAGGCCATTGCCTTTCTCTGCTCGGACTTGAAGAGCTGCGGGATGTCGATGATGTCACGGTCCGCCAGGCCCAGCTCCCGCTTCAGCACCTCACGATTCCAGTCAATGCAGCTCTTGGGAAGGGAAAGGCTGAGTTGGGGAGACCTGGCCAGTGTGTGTTGAGGACACCAAGGGGTCACGTGTGGTTGAGGAGGGAGAGGGTGCCTGAGTATTCACAGATTGTCCACAAAACTTCACCTATGTGCCCTTTGGTCAAAATATCCATGGCCTGTCTCCTACCCCATACGCCCTATCCTATCCCACTAGTTGGGCTAAAACTGAGAATGTTCCAGAATGTTCCAACCTTGACCCTTTTCTCCAGATCCCCACTCTTTAACAGATCTCATTCAGTCTTGTGGTTTAAAACACCATCTATACACTGATGACACCCAGATTTCTATCTCCCCACTTCTCTGCAAAGCCCCATCTCTTTCCTGAGCTCAGACTTGTAGGTATCATTGCCTACACTTCGTCTCTGCTGGACAGCTAATAAACACACAGTGGAGCGAGAGATGAGCTCTCCATTTCTAGCCTCAAATGTGCTTCCCCAACAAAGGTCTTCAGCTCTGTGGATGTCACCATGCTTACCTGCTGCCACCAGCCTCACTGTCATTCCCCATGTCTCCCTCCCTCTCGATCCATCTCCAGTCCCACAGCACATCCTGTGGGTACTGCCTTTAAGACCTATCCCAGATCTGCCCCCTTCCCACCACCTCCGCTGCCCCCAGCTGCTCTGAAGGCTGCCCCTCCAGCAGTGGCTCGCTACTGGTCTCTTGCTGCTTCTCCTCTTGCCCACAGGGTGGCCTTGCTAATGTCCCTCACAGACATCCAACTCCAGGGCCCCAAATCCCTCCCACACCTCTGCCAGTTGGTCACAGCCGTCGCCACCTGCTCCTTGGATGCATGTGGCTCAAGACAAAGCAGGGGACTAGAGACGGGGCCCATTCCAACCCAAGCCTTCATGACCATGAGCCTCAGATGTCCCCAGCCCTGCCCACTTTCCACCCAACCCACAGCCTTTGTACCTGCACAAACTTATTAAAGCTGATGAGGTTTCCATTGGAAAGGACCTGGTCAATGGAGATGGTCCTGACCCGCCTGTCACCTATGAAGGACACAGAGACAGAGAGGGGAAAGGACAGGTCCAAGTTAGGGTGAAGTGGATGGCCAGAGGCCAAATTCACAGCCACTGGTCTGGCTGGGCCAGCCGCTCTCTGACTTTGCCAGACATGGAGTGGGCAGCACCTGCAGAGCTGGGTGTGGCCACAGTGCAGGACTGAGGTCTGGGCACGAGAAGGTCTGGTGGCCACAGTGACTTTGAGTTTATGGGAAGGGCCAGTGCCCTAGCTGGAAATTAGTTAAATGCCACCCCAGGGCTCTGAGTGATTGGTAGTCTTCCTTCCACCTATGGCAGGCTGGGTCCGTGCTGTCTGCCCTCACCCCCAGGCCAGCCTCATGGGTTCTCTGAGCACTTGACCAGCCAGTTCTGGGAGTCCCACACCAGCAGGCTCTGACCTGCCCTATTCAAGGTGAGTCATGGCAGAGTGGCCCCCAGAGGCCCAGTCTCCTGCTCACCTGGTGGTGCCCATGATGGGCTCTGCGTTCAGCCTCTCACCTAACACTGACCCTGCCACTGTGCATCACCCCCACTTGACAGATGAGTAAACTGAGGTTCAGAGAGGTCAGATGACTCCCCCAAGGGAATACAGCCCAGATGGGAGGGACTCTATGAGCCAGTGTTCACAAAGGGCCTCCAGTTTGACCGAGGGAAAGGAGAGCGTTCCTGCGTGTGGCTTGACCCCATGCTGTCCCAGCTGCCAGGTTGGACATGAATTAGGTTCTGCTCAGCCTATGCCAAGCCTTGCTCACGGTGAGCCTGGCTGTCTCGGGAAAGCACAAGGGGTCTCCCACACCCCAGCACATCAAATCTGGATTTGAGGAGTTTTAAGATTTAACTTGGGTTCAAAGGAATCGTGAGATGATCCCTTTGGGAGCAATGGACAGGGAAATAAATCTTCTGTGTCATTGCTAGGTGACAGTAGGAAGCAGAGAGCAAGAGACTTGGACAGAGGGCCTAGTGTGATGGCACTGGCCACAGCTGGCACTGTCCCCACTTTCTTCATGCCCACCCAGGATTAGGGTCTCGCCCTGCTCCTGCCTCAGCCCAACCAAGGGCAGCGGTGATTGACTGGCAAGGTGTGGGATTCTGGGGCCACCCCTCTCCAAACCCATGGTGCATCTTCATTTAGGGGAGGGGTGGGCAAGCTGCACTGGGACACTGCACTGTTACCCACTGATAACTCCCTGGAAGAGGAGGGCCCTGCCATGACCCCATTTCTGCTTCTCCTGGAAGAGCCGGAAGCAGTCGGAGGGACTGGCCAGGAGCATCCGGAAGCCCTGCAGGCGAAGAACAGATCAGCTGAGTCCCTGGCTCCCTGGCCCACTGAGCTCCCCTGCCCCAGACGTACATCCCCAGGCCCTCACCTTTCCATCTGGGGCAGGGACAAAGCTCAGGAACTCATCCACATGCCCCACGGCCAGCCAGTCCACGAAGAGCTCCACGGGTGGCTGCACCTTCTGGGCATGGAGGAACTTCCGAACCACCTGGGTTACCCTGCGGCCCTTCGACCTGGCCCGTGGGGTTGGAAAAGGTATTCAACTAAGAAAAAGTCCATGCAGGCTGGGAGTGACAAGAGGTCATGATCTCTGTGGTATCTGACTTTATAAAAATGCATGGGTTTTGTAAACACAGAAGACAAGAAATGTGTGTTTTAAATTCTGTTCAGGAGAGTTCTGGGTGAGGCAGACTGGGGACAGGTTGGTCACAGAGGGGCAAGGACACAGAAGGTCCTGACATCCAGGGAAATCCTCAGAACCACTCATACCCTGTCCTCATGACACTGACTTCCCCCCATATTCCAGGAGGTTCCTCCCTGAGTTTGGCTCAGATATCTCGCTGCAGCCTCAGTTCCCTGGATGTCCACGGGGGAGAGGTGGATGGGGCAACCTTAGGGGCCTCAGCCTCAGCCATTTGTCTGTGAATTTAAATCTTCTTCTGTTTTTGCCTTCTGAGAAAGTAGCTAGTAGCATGGCCACAATTTCCTCTTTCTGGGAATCATGTATTTGAGGTGGTCCCCTCTAAACCTCGACTCTGGACTTGTCCATTATTTGAGCCCAGGTCTGTTCTAACCACTTTGCTGAACTGTGGCTGAATGTCTTGGTCTATTCTGTGGCAAAGAACCACTATGATATCATTCCGTTCCTTTCCTATGGGCACTCCTGTGGGACATGTCAAATCATACAGAACCAGTCTCTCTCTCTCTCTCTCTCTCTCCTCCTCTTCCTCCCTCTCTTCCCATCCCTCTCCTCTCCAGCCTCACCTACTTCTCACCTTTATACCTTCCTTCTGCTCTGAAGAAAAGATCCAGTATTAGTCCTTTATATCATAGTATGAATAAGCCTTGACTTAAATGCTTTTTTGCAGGACTGTTGGGAAAAAAGTTTTTCTCCTATTATTATTAACTGATAGGGCCGGGGATTTAGCTCAGTGGCACTGTGCCTGCCTCATAAGCACAAGGTCCTGAGTTTGATCCCCAGTACCAAAAAAAAGGGATTATTAACTGATAGGCTCTGTTATCAGCATCATCTATTTATTTCAGAATCAGAAGACCTGAGTCTAGTCATCAATTTGCTTTTCTCTGTGACTTACTCTCTCTGGGCCCAGTTGTAGAGTGAAAGGGTTGGACTGGAGAATCTTGTAGGGCCCTGCTCCCTCCAGCTTTCTCAGACTTCCCAGGCAGGTATAGGCTGTCTGGTGCACAGCCCACCCCCCACCACATCCAGGACTACAATGGCATCGCTTCATTCTGGTTCCTTCCAGGGATAGATGGTCCCTCACCCCACCCTGCCTCCTCCTAGAAATCCTCCCTGTGCCCACTCACCCAGGCAGGTTGCCCCCGATGAGGATCCGCCCCAGAGGGTACTCTTTTCCGTTGGCCACAACTGGGGGGCTGACCTCCAGGTTCCCAAAGGAGTCCAGGCCGCTCACGGACTTGTCCCGTGGTTCCCGAGTCACGTAGCCAAAATCTACACCCTGGAGAGGTGGTAACTGAGTTAGGGAGCAGTGGGCATCAGGAAAAGCTTGAACCAACTTTCTGGGCTCTGAGCTCCTAAAAGGTGGGATGGGAGAAGCCACCCATTCTTCAGATGGAGATACTGACTCGCAGATGCATCTGACCTAGGCAGCAATTCATACATGTGTTGTGGCTGAAGTTGGGAGACACTCAGGCCCCGTGACTGTGCTGCCCTGCCAGCCAGGGTCATTTCCTGTCATAAAGACAGAAGAAGGGCTCACTGGCACTGTAGCCCTATCAGTCACGCTAGAATAGCTGTCTTGGGGACCAGAGGCTGAGGACAACCCACTGAGCCTGAGATTTCCCTGGGCCATCTCTCAGAGGGATGTGAGGTACCATCAAGGACAGAGTAGGGTTATTCTGATGCCCGTCCTATGTCCTCCTGCCTCCCCCATCTAGGGCTGCCAGAGGTATTAAATAAAAATACAGGATGCTCCATGAAATTTTTTTTTTTTTTCGAGACAAGGTCTCGCTTTGTGTTCAGGCTGGCCCTGAACGCACTTTGTAGCCCAGGCTGGCCTTGAACTTGTGGCAATCCTCCTGGCTCTGCCTCCTGAGTGCTGGGATTAAAGGCCTGCACCACCACTCCCAGCTCTCCATGAAATTTGAATTGCAGGTAAGTGCAATCTGTTTAGTGTAAATCTATCTCATGCAATGTTTGGGACACACTTATAGCAAAGTTACTCATTGCTTTTTGAAATTCAAAATGAACTAGGCACCCCCTGTATTGTACCTGGCAGCCCTACTCCCTTTGAGAGAAGAGACCACCCCTTCCACATGGAATTGGGCCACTATGGGTTAACTGTGTTATTAGTCAACTATGGGTTAACTAGGTAACTGTCCTCTTTGTAGAATGTACCTGATATGACCATGACAACTTCTGTAATCTGTCACCAAAGGAGTGTAATGGACTCAGAAAGTCCTGCCAGAACTCTTTGCTCTTTCTCCTCACACCCACTGCTCTGCTTTGTGTAAATCTTGCTTGCTATATTCCCAGGGAAACTCCAATGATAGTAAGTCTCGTAGATGTAAAAAGAGATATCTAAAGAAGAACAAACTTCTATTTGGCGCTCTCAAGACTAACAGGAGTCACTCAATGAGCCACCAGCATTAAAAGCCACTTTCTGTTCCCATCTTTGTGTTAAGAGTGGTCTGTCCGGGGTCCTCACAGTTTCCTGCTTCGGCATCCCTAAAGGACAGGCTCCCAGTTCTGTTTCCTGGGCTCCTCTCTCCAGCATGGCCCTCGGGGTTATGGCCCCTGGGCTCCCTTGGCTAGGCTGCAACATCGACCACTCACCAGGATCCTTTTGTAAGGGAACTCCTGCAGCTCCCCGTTCCTTGGGGAGTCGAAGACAACTGGGAAGGTTTTGTGCGGTGCCTCAACGTAGCCCAGCTCCATCTCATCCTGCCATGAGGAGAGACACCCACTGTGGATGGCTGTAGCTCCCCACCTGTGTGGTGCCGGACCCCCTGAGGAAGGCTGCACCCCCGAGTTCTCCATCTTGGGCCTGTTTGCCCTTGGAGGTGGGGAGGACAGAGATCAGGATGTCTGCTACCTGGAGAAGGGCCTGGAGGCTCAGGAAGGGGATACACTTGCCTGCAGCCACATAGCAAGATGGCAAATGAGAACATGGAGGTGACCTTTGGGTGTCCTTGTGCTGGTCCAGACAGGGTGGATGTAGAGAGGGCCTTGAGGTGGCCCTGGGCACCAGCCAGCTATTCTGGCCTCCACACTTTGTCACAAGGGGTTGGCAGCTAGTCAGGCCCAAGGGACCGGAGTGCGCACAGATAGGCCTCCTCGGGCCTGTGAGGTCCGGGTCAGTCCTGACTGCACCATGAGCTAAGTATCCAACAAGAGGCTCCCTAGTTTGCAGCTGGCCCTGCCCTAAGCCTCTGTAAACACTAACTCTACTAACCCTCATGGCAAGCCTGTCAGGAGGTGCTGTTATTCCCACCCGTGTGATAGAAGAGGAAAGGGAGGACCAGAGAGGTCCAGTTGTCTGTCCAAAGCACACAGCTAGTCAGCAAGGGTGAGCGGGAGGATCAAAAGTTCAGGCCCAGCCTGGGCAATTTAGTGCCTTGACAAGATCCTGTCTCAAAAAAATAAAAAAAAGAAGGGCTGGAGCTGTACCTCAGTGAAGGCCCAGGTTCAGTCCCTAGTACTGCCAAAAGAAAAATTCCTCCAGATACTGCCAATGTCACTTGAGGAACCAAAATTGCCTCCTAGCTCAGCTGTCGAGGGCAGGCAACATGTGCACTTCGGTCATTCCTTCAGGCCCTGCTCAGTGCCTGGCCCAGCTCTGGTAGGCAGTGGGTATCAAATCCAGTAACAGTGTGTATCTAGGTCTCCAGAGATTTCTGGAGTGAGGCTCTAGGTCTTGAACCAGAAAGGGCAGGAAGAATCCTGAAGCCTCAGGTCCTCCTGGGTGTTCATTCCTCAGCAGCCCCAGCCTCTTCCTGCAGGATGGTGGCCTGGTGGCCATGATTACCTGGATCCAGCGGTCATTGCGGTTCTCGGTCTGTGGGCAGATGGTCAGTTTGCAGCCTGCCCGACTCGCCAGCTCCTCCACAGCTTCCACGAAACGCGTGTTGTTCCTCACACTGGGAATAAGCCCCAGAGAGTGGCTCAGAGCCAGGGCCTGGGGACCGGAGGGGCCAGTGGGGCAAGGGCCCCTGTTCCCTCCAAGACTCACCGGCACACATATACCTCCAGGGGCGGCAGGGTGCTGGGTGTCATGATCCAGGGTGCCACCCGGAACACCACAGTGTCGGTGAAGATCGGGGTCTCAGAGAAGTCCTGAAGGGGCAGCCCAGGCACTGGACTCAGTCCAGCCACAGAGCAGGAATCTGTTCTACCACCATGATCCTTAAGAAAGCCCCTTGCAAGTCAAGCCAGTGGGGTGGCAAAGAGGCCTGGGGTCCTTAGTGCCAGCAATTCCTGTTTCTCACTCTCCACTCCAGCCACCCCTTACCTCGTTGGAGTCATCCAGCAGGGTGACATGGAAGGAGACAAGCCCTTGGAAGCCAGCATCAGGGAAGGAGAGGCCCTCTATGAAGAAGTGCTCCTCATTCCCGTGGAGACGGGGCACCTCATACGACACCTTGTCCTGGCCCAGCACGCACTTGTAGGCCTTCCAGGAGTCCTTGGGGCCTGGGAGGGGTAAGTGGAAAGCCGTGGGAGGGGAGCATGAGGGATGTTAGCCTCACCCACAGGTCTTGAGGTCTGACAGCCCCTCCCCTGTCAAGAAGGAGGCATGGTACCCAGGCAGGCAGAGCAGGGTGGTATTTCTTTCCACAATCCAACAAAGAAACTTTACCCCTAACCCACAATCCCACTTCTAGGCATGGTTGCTACGAAAATGTACATTCAAGTTTGCATAAAGAGCCACATTTCAGACTCCTGGGCCCCAAGCAGAGCCTGCCTAGCTGCCCCATGCAAGAAAAGAGGTTTCCTGGGCCTGGCACCTGGTGCCTGGCATGGACTTACCACACATGTGGAAAACCCGTGCCCGCTGGGCATCAAAACTGGAGGTGTGGAGCACGAGTTTGTGGTCATCAAAGAGGGCTGCTGGACCCTGGGTCTGCAGGACCATGACGGACATGTCTTCCAGATCTGTGAAGCCAAACAGAGGGCAAGTGACTCAGAGAGGGCAAGTGACTCAGAGGGGACAAGAGAAGTGTGGAATGACAGCAGCCAGCCCCATGCCTGGCACCAGAGAGGTGTTGGTGAGAAGTCGGCTAAATTCAAATTCCACCTGGCATCACACATGCAAGGCTGTGATACTAGAGGAATCCTTCCCTCTGGAGGCAAGTGCCCTGAGGATGCAGCCATGAGCATTGTGTGGACACTGCTTGCCCTTCCCCGGGATATCACTGCCTTGGACAGACTCACAATGTGGGTACCACCAGAGGGCAGGCCAGAGGTTTAGGGCAGGAGCCTGGATTTGAGGTGGAAAGGGAACCCTGGGATCGACAACAGACTGACTGTGGGGATTCTCTGGACCTCTGAGGCTCAGTGTTCTCATCTCTAAATTGAGGTGATGAGGGCTGGGGATTTAGCTCAGTGGTTCCACTGCCTGCCTTGCAGAGTTCGATCCCCAGTACCAGAAAAAAAAATTGGGGTGATGACACTCTCGCACTTGGATGATTAACGAGGAATGTAGGGAAAAGGTGTGGTACACAGAACCTCCTTCCTGGAGGAAGGAGAAATACTTGTTTCCAGCATTTCTGCCCGGCATTGGTGTACCCGTGGGCACTTTGGACACCAGGTCGGTCAGCGTCCAGCCTGAGATGGGTTTAAGGAACATCAGGTGTGGGGAGCTGGACCTCTGGCCTCCAGTTCCACCTTGGGAGCCTGGCCTATGGGGCAGAACCCCCGTGGGGTCACAGCAGTGACCCAGATACCAAGGGACCCAGGCAGCCCCAGTCCCTCACCTTGCAGGCATCGCACATGCTGGTCACGGTTGTCCGGGACATCACAGTCCAGATCGTCCCTGTCACAATTCACCAGCAAGATGGCTCCATACCCACCAGGCCCCCAGACCCACTGCTTCTGCAATGGGAAAACACAGCCAGTGAAGGGGGCGCAGACCAGACCCACACCTCCTTCCCGGCATCTCCCACAAGACTCCTAAGCCTTCATTTTGCCCTGTGAGGAGAGGTCCACTGTCACCAAAGCACATCCTGCTCAAGAAATATCAAAGGCTCCCTAGTGCCCACACCATCAAGTCCAAGCCATATCTGACCGTCATGGCTGTCTATGAGTACCTGCAGGCCATGTGGCATTTTTCTACAGACAACCTCCTGGTTCAGGGACACATGCCTCACAACACCTCATCTCTCCATACCTTCCTCTATGCCTTTGCCCTCGTTGTTCCCACACCCGGAATGCCCTCCCTCCTGCGCTCCCAAGGAAGGCTTCTCTGCTCCCTCCCTCACCTCGACCGTCTTCTCTAAACTCTCAATGCATTTAGTACCACTATAATTGGGGCCAAGGATATTTAACAGTTCATTCTTGGTAGAAATGCTGTTCCCCTAAATCAGAGTCAACATGCTATGGCTGGAGACCAAACCCTGCTCACTGCCTGAGTTTGTAAATAAAGTTTTATCAGAACACAGCCATGTCACTAGTTCATCTTGGCTGTGGTTGCTTTCACATTACAATGGCAGAACTGAGGCAGTCTGCCCCTCAAAGACTGACATATTTACTCTTTGGCTTTTATTTAAAATAAAGTTTGCCAGCACTTGACCTAGATTATAATTCCAGAATTTTCTTCTGAGCAGCCAAGGCCAAGCCCAGTGCTGGGAACCTCTGTGCCTGATAGTTTTGGGTGGTGATTTTTCTCCTGGGCAGAGACTACCCCCCACCCCAGCCTGATCCTCTTTGGCCCCCCCTGACCTTAGCATCTGCTGGGAGGCAGAGGCAGGGCCTACCTGTAGTGGCCTCTCCCCTCAAACCCCAGCTCCATTCTCCGCTCCCCTGTCCAGGTCCAGGTCAACAAGCCTACCTTGTCCACAGAGTTCCTGTCCTCCCTGCCCTCATAGTTCAGGTCGCAATCCAGGGCAATGTCTGTGGGAGGAGGTGGCAGGTGAGTTCCTACCAGGTGCCCAGAGGACCAAGAAAGCCCAAGGCTTCTGTTTTCAGTCTTCATCTCAGGACCCATGCGGGACTGGGCAGATATACATCATCTCCCAGCAGACACAACCCAGAGGCAGGACTCTGAGGCCTCCCTCCCTGGACTGGGGAAAGAGGCCTTGGAGAGGACGAGGGTTTGGAGCAAAAGCTTGGGCCAAAGCCTGTCCTTTCCAGGAAGCCTTTCCCGATGGCCTCCTCTTCTGGATCCCCGGGGCCCTTGCTGGCTGGGGCATACTCAGCACTGAGCCTAGGTTGCCAGGCACATTCTTGTTCTGCATGCAGCTGTCTCATCTTGGAATAGAACAGTGGGTCTGAATTTTGATGTTAGACTGACCCTGATGTGAATCTGGGCCCTGCCACCTGCTGGCTGTGTGGCCTTTCTGAACCTCTGCTTCGGCAGCTATTCTCATTCCCCAACTCCCAGCCCATCTTCCTTATCCCCAACCCTCTTAACACTTCTCCCTGGAAACTGGGGGAGATCTTACTATACAAGCGAAATATTCAAGGCGTGAGAACAAGTCTTCCTGCAAAAACCTTCTACAAAAGCCTTCTGAGCTCTTGAAGAAGAAAGGGAAAGAAATAGATTTTAATAAATTATTTAATATGTGAAAAGATACCCAACACTGTGCAGTGATGGGTGGATATGGGCCCTGAAGCCCAGTAGAAAAGGATGCAGGCAACATGATTCCCCCATGAAAAATTCAGACAGTAACACCAGACTCTACCACTTGGTGTGCATGTTCAGGTGAGCAGACCATAAAGAATATCAAGGAATGTGTATCACAAAGCAGTGGTTGTCTCTAGAGGAAGAAAGGAACAGGCTCAGAGAGGCCTGTGTTTAGGACTGGAGGCGGATGCCCAACCTCACTCCTAACCAAAGAAAAACAAATTCAGGCAATGAGGAGATGGTACCCTACAAGATAGGAAACACCAGAAAAGGCTGATATTGTGCAGGAAGCAACCTGCCCCCGTGCCCTATGGACAGATGTATCATGTGGCACAGTCATTTTGAGAATATCTATCAACATTTTTGGTTTTTTTTTTTTTTTTTTTGGTGCCGGGGATTGAACTCAGGACCTTGGGCTTGCAAAGCAGGCAGCGGAACCACTGAGCTAAATCCCCAGACTACTATCAACATTTAAAATATGCTTCTCCTTCAACCCACGAGCTCTACTTCTGCAAAAGCCACCAATAGAGAAAGCATTTGCAACTTACTGGCTAATTGCTTTCCAGGTGCTTGTACGAATCCAGACCCCCCCACCTGTGCCCCTAGAAGGAGTTTCCCAGCCCCACAACCATGGCAACTCTGAATTACTTGAACAGCTTCACATGTGGGTTTTGACCAAAGGGATTTCTCCTCTGTGAAATGCTCATTCACATTTTAGCCTATTTCTATTTGTTCGTTCGTTTGTTTTTATTGGACTTTTCCATAGTCTATATGCACTGAGTCAACATATGCATTGTATAAGGGAATTATTTCTCTCTCTCTTTTATTTTGGTACCAAGGATTGAACTCAGGACCTTGCACTTTTGAGGCAGGTGTGGCGCCACTGAGCTAAGTCCCCAGCCCCAACAGATCCATTGTAAATATCTTCTCCCAGCCCATAGTTTGACATTTTACTTGCACCTGCTGTAACGTAGTTTTAAATTTTAAAATCATCTAATTTACCAACATGTCTTCTATGGTTTGTGCTTTCATTTTGCCTTATTAAAGAAAACCCTTTCAACCTAAAGATTACAAAGATCTTTTAGATTTTCTTTTTTTTTTCTGGTACCAGGGACCGAACTCAGGACCTTGCACTTGCCAGGCAGGCATCGGTACCACTGAGCTAACTCCCTGGCCCACAAAGATCTTCTTTTAAAAAACTTCTTCAATTTTGATTTTCTTTTGGAAACAGAGTTTCACTATATAGCCCAGGCTGGCCCCGAACTCACAGCAATTCTCCTGCCTCAACCTCCTGTACCATTTTGATTTTTATCTTGAGATCTTTAACTCACATGAAATTTGTTTTTGAGTATGGTGTGAGGTAGGGCTCCAAGTTTTTTTATTCTTATGTGATAAACTACAGAAGCCTGAATCTATCTCCAGCCTACTTGTGCCATTGGTCTATGTACTTAACCCTGCACAAATTTCATGTTGCTCTAAGTGCTACAGCTTGAAAAAGTCTTCATATCTGGTACTGTGAATCCTTCTACCTTGTTCTTTCTCAAAACTGTCTGGCAATTCTTGCCTTTTGTGCTTCCCTGTGAGTTTTAGAATCAGCTTTATAAAATTCTATTAAAAAGTCACTTGGGATTTTGATAGAAATTACATTGAGTTCCTACCATCTGATACTATTCAGAGCTCTTACATCTCTGTCTTGTTTTGTTTGTGTTTTGGTTTGAGTAACTTCTCTTGACCTGTCTTCAAGTCCACCAATTCTTTCTTCAGCTACTGTTTTTCTCCACTCTGTCACTCTGATTTTTCATTCCTGCATTTCCATTTGACCATTCTAACACTGTTCATCTCTCTGTTGCAATTCCTGTCTGTTCATGCATGTTGTCCATCTTTTCTATGAAATCCTTTAACACGGGCATCAGGGTTACTTTACATTTCCTGTTTAATAGTTCAGCATCTGAGTCCTCCTGCACAGAGTCTACATAGGATATCAATTTGTGGAGAATTTGCAGAAAACATTTCAGTTGAAAAAAGCAAGGTCCAGTTCCTGGTCTATCGAGTGCTTCTGTTTGGTCACAGAAAGGGAGGCTGTACTAACAAGGGTGTGTTTACTGGCACAAGCTCAGCTCATCTCAAAAGGATGCTGGCCATGGGGAACTGAAAGTTTGGGTTCATTTTTCAGTGTGAACTCTTTTGTACTACTGAAATTTTCTAATGTGCACATCTTTAATTTTAAAAAACAAAACAAATTGACTTTTTCATAAAGACCCTGGTCAGTGTCATTGCCAAGCACCAGCTCTCTGCCCTTGGCCAGGCCCTGGGCCACAGCCTCAGCTCAGCCTCGACTTACCCACACAGGTTAGGTAGAGCACGGCGTAGGCCAGGGGCAGAGACTCTCGGCTGGAGTGGTAGGAAATCTGCACCTGAGGAGAGATGGCCCGAGTGACACTGGGGGGAGCCAAGAGCCCCCACCCCAAGACAGGCCTCCACCTCTCTGAGTGCCTCGGTTTTCTTATCTGCAAAACAGGGACGTAAGCCGAGCATGGTACACACACTTGTAATCCCAGCACTCTGCCAGGCTGAGGTGGGAGGATGGAAAGTTCTAGCCCAGCCCAGGCAACTTAGCAAATGAGTGAGATTATGTCTCAAAAAAAATCAAAACAAAAAAGGCCTGGGGATGTGGCTACATTCTCATCATGGTTCCTGAACACAGTGTCCCTCCCCCATAACTGTTTAGAGCAAAGATGAAGACAGGGATGATGATACGAGATTGGAGGCAGACACATCAAAGTCCCCTCCGACCTTTGTTTCCCTGGGATGTTCCCTTCAGATGTGGGTCCCTCCACACTTAGGCTCTGAGGTGCTGCTCTCAGCTGGGACCTCAGGATCTTGCAGAGGCCACTTAGCCCTCAGTTCTAGGAGCCCCTAAATCCGGCACTCACTCACCTCATGTGCCAAGGGCCCACCATGGCCTACTCCCCCAACCTATAGCTGCTTGGAACCCAAAGGCAGAGCAGGGCAGGGGGTCTCTGACCTTCCTCAGTCCTCACAGCCAATGTGTTCAGGAACTCAGGGTGGGGAGGGCTCTACTCAGCCTCTAGTTCTGCAGGCCACCTGGAGGAGACCTTACAGGCCAGCCAGTACTCCCGTGCTGCTCCGGGCACTTTATCCTGTCCCCACTCACTCTGCCACTCGCTAGTACATATGGCCAGCTAAGCCACACCCCTCCTTGGTCTCAGTTTCTTCATCTGGAGAATGGGTCAATTCAGTCCTGTCCCATACACCTCACAGAGCTTGGGGAGAGCCTCAATTCAGATACTCGATGGGCACAGAGGTGAGGTGATGGGGAGCCTGCCCCAGTTGTGCCGAGTCCTGGCTCTGGAACCCCAGACAGGGACTGTGAACCTTGGTTGCCCCACTGGGAGAGGGGGGCCAGCCCCTGCTTCTCAGGGCTGCAGCAACGGCTGGATGAGGTGACAGCTGCCCAGTGACCACGGTCAGTGGACCTTAAAGGACTGATCTCTAGAACACTGCTCTGGACATGGGATGGGAAACCACTTCTCACTACCAATTCCTGGTCCCTTTGAGGCCAACACTTATTCCCTGTCTTAAATGTCCTGAAACGCTGCAAATGGGGTCAGGGAGAGTGGACAGGAGAAGGTGAGGGACCTTGGGAAACGTCACCGGATGGGGCATCTCCCTGAGAAGAAGCAGTGCCCCTCCCCCATACCTGCTTTCTCTCTGTCCCTCAAAGAGGCAGAGATCACCTAACACACTCCCAGACTACAGATGGGGAAACTGAGGCCCAGCACAACAGAACTGGGCAACTCCTGTCTTTAGCAGCCGTGGGAAACTAGAGAAGAAGCACGCGCCAGCTGCCGTCCACCCACGCCAGCACCAGAAGGGAGGGTTATGAGGACCCCCACCCCTTCACAGAGGGCACAGGAGTACCAGGTGCTGGGGACTCATGGCCTGGGTTTGTAAGTTGTAGTGCCAGACACTCACCCACGGTGAGCTTGCACCCTATAAAGGGGGTTGTGGGACCTCCTGGACCCTGATCACTGGCTTCCCCACCCAACCCGGGGAGCAGCTCACATGACTGTCATTGAGGTCGTTGCTGGGGGAGTTCATGACCACGATGATCTCCAAGCCCTCATCAAAGTCCCACCGCCTGGTGTCTGCACGCTGGTCCCGGCTCCTCTCCGTGCCGGGGGAGATGTAGATGTCCACCCCAGGGGTCCCGTAGACCTCGAACATGTCTGTGCCCTCGGGAACCGATCTGGGAAGGACAGGGAGCCATGGGGCACACCGAAGGACACTGCCATGGCTCCTCCTGGAAGCACCTCCAGTTACCCAGGCCAGGCCGGGCTCGAGGAACCCCACACACACCTGTGCACAGTTCCACATTCCAGGCTCCTCAGCCAGAAACGCCTCCCCTGTGTATTTCCTGACCTCCCACGAGGATAGCAGACCCTCAGAAGCCAGCTGCATGCTTTGTGCCATCCATCCCTACCCCATGGTGCCCAGAACCAGAGTCAGCACCAATGAGTAGACGCCCTAGATGCTCTGTGACCTTAGCTTGCACCCCAAGTCCCCAACCACCTCCTTGGCAGGGCATGAGGTGTCCTTGGAGACCTTCCAGTGAGTAGTACAGCTTAGACTTCCCACTTCCTTTCACAAGTCTGCAGGGTACACAGTATCATCCCCACTTGACAAGTGGGAAACAGGTTCAGAGAGGTCTGGTAAAAAACTGGGGTCACACAGCATGAAATGGCAGAGCCAGGTTTGTACATGGGCCCCTGACTCCAAGCCCAGGCTGCTGCAGAACGCTGAAGGGGCACCTGGGAAAGCTGGCCCTGGTCTGGCCAAACAACCAAGTGGCAATGGAAGGTTTAAAACCCTGGAATTGTGTCTCTCCCATTCCCGTTAACTGGGAATCCTGCTTGGAAACCAGTCTGCTTATCCCTCACCTTAGGGTCCCCTCTATGCACTGAGCACTGCCAGGCAGAAGCATGTGCCTGCTGCTCTCTCTACTGCCCTGGAGTCTTCGATCCTTCAGGGAGCTGAGGCCCAGTCTGCCCAGGGCAGTCGCATGTGGCTCCATGGGAAATCACACAAGTGAGGAGCTGTGAGCTGGAGGGGCTGAGGAGGCTTCTTGGATGAGTCCTTGCTCTGTGCCAGCCCTGTTTGAGCTTTGTTGTGTTCGTTATCCCATGAAATTCTCTCCATAATCTTGTGGGGGAGTTATGAGTATTCTCTCCATTCTACAGTTGGGGAAACTGGAGGTGAACAGCCTGCCCCAGGCCATGTTGCTGGGAAGCAGCAGGCCTTATGGCTCTTACAGCCACTCTCCCCAGCTCTGCCCCTCCCTGCACGCTTGCCATGCAGCCCCTGCTCAGCCTCTGTGTACCAGCTCCTCTGATCCTCAGCCTGAGAACGGGGGCTATGACTGCCACTCACCCCTGGGGAAACTAAGTCTCGGGATGGGCAAGTGAGTCCTGCAAGCTCACAGCTGTCCCCTTGGAGGCCGGCAGAGCCCCCTGAGACCCCTCTTTGCTTTCCCAACGGGATTATGAGACTTCTCAAAGCAGCTTTTTATGAAAAAAGGAATCCACCAAGCCTGAGTTTGCAGGCTTCCCCAGTTTGGGGGCAACAGGCCTGTTTCTCCCTCCAACCAGGGCTACCAGATTCAGCAAATAAAAATACAGAAGGATCAGCTGGGCTTGAATTTCAGGTAAACAACAAATTGTTTAGTATAAGCATATCCCATGTACTCTCTGGGCTAAAGAAGTAATATACTAAAAAAGTAATGATTTGGAATTCAAATTTAACTAAACATTCTGGATTTTATCCAACATCACTGCTCCCAAAGCCTGGACTTTCCAGGGCTGCTTGGTGCCCTCCCGCTGCCCTGCCCTGGGTGTGTGGGTGGTCCCCTTCAGCGGACACAGAGGGGCCAGACAGAGAGGCACGGAGACACAGAGAGGTGTGAGAGTCAGAGCCAGAGCCAGAGAGAGACACCAAGATCTACCCAGGCAGCAAGGCCCCCTCATGTCCCATACCCCTAGGCCACTGAACTCTAGCACCAGGGCAGCCAGTAAGGTTTTATGGAAGTCCTCAGCCCCACATTGTCCCTTGGGCTGCCCTCGATGGCCCTTCTGGTATGAAAACTCAGTGCCTGGCCCCCAACGCTGGACAGGGACATTTCAGCCTGGCTCCCTGGGTCAACCCTTTGAGACTCTGGGGATCAACCCCCAGGAAGCAGGGAGCAGCCCTGGCCAGGAGGGGGCCCGGGGCATGGCCCCAGTAGGGCTTCACAGAGAGCTGCGTCCCCAGCTGGAGACTAGAGGGGACACAGCATCGGCCAGGCAACCTCAATGGAATCACTTGGCCTCTCTGGGCCCCTGTGAGGTGAATAATGACACCTGTGTCTGACCTCACCGGTAGTCATGAGGCTGGAGTGGTGTGATAGATAGGAAAGGCCTGGAGTGCCGGCCAGGACGGGGAGGGTGTTATTAGTGTAAATTAGGGTGCGGGCAACAGTGGGAGGAGGCAGTGGCAGGTGGGCCAGGTATTCAGGGCAGCTTCCCAGAGGATACAGGTCTTAGAGGACAGGGTTTTCACCTGGAGCCTCAGGAGGTCAAGTGTAGCTCAGGCTGCAGCAGGGTTTTCATTTATTTCCCAGGTAATGAGGAGCCAGTGATGGTTCTTGATCAGGAGGCTCTCCACAGTGGAGCTGTGACAAGGTGGTTAAGCCTGTGGACCTCAGGGCCAGGCAGCCTGGGTTCAAATCCCAGCCCCATGGCTCACCAGGTGTGAGGCCTTGAGGGGTGACTCAGCCTCCCCCAGCCTCAGCACATACATCTATCTGGTGGGAAAAAGGAGGAATCCATGTGCACTCCAGGGAAACTGAGGCCCAGAAGAGAGGCGACCAGGAGGTAGGGGTCCAGACTCCTTGTCCAGTGCTCACACGCCATCATGGGAGCGGTGTGCTGGGATGATCACATGAGTGGCTGCCGGGAGCAGAGCGTGCGTCAGGTCCAGGAGGATCCAGAGTCCCCATTTCCCAGAGGACAGGCTGTCCACACCCTCCCAGCCTGCCCCGGGAGTGAGTGGGCATGACGGGCGGCAGGGTGACAACAGCCCGGTCACTGTCGCTGGAACCCAGGCGTTTGTGTCCCGGGGTGCAGAACACTCGGTATTAAAACCAGGACAGCAAGTGCTCCAAAAGGGACTGATCTCAGAGCCACCCCACCGCAAATGCAGATTCCCAGGGGCCGCCAGCCTGCAGGAGGCCCAGGGTCTGCACTTCAACTGCTCTGATGTCCAAGGATCATGGCTAAGATGGGGCTGCCTCAGAAAGGCTAGAGGTCCCCAGAGATGTAAGGACCCCCAGTGTGGGGGAACCACAACCCTCTGTTCTCTCGTGTCCCCTTTTCGTTGCTAAGCATGAAAACAGTGGCAGTGATGATGGACATGGTCTCCACAGCTATAAGACGTATAAACTATCATCCCCACTTTGCAAGGTTCAGAGATGGCAGGTGACTCGCCCAAAGTCACGAAGTTGACAGGATGGAGCCAGGTCTCACAGGAAGCCCTGACTTCACTCCTGTGCCAGCCCAAAGTCATCCTCTCCCTAAATGGGCTCAGAGGCCTGGCTTCTAAAACAAAACCAAACAATTCAGGTGCTGGGCCTCTGATGGGCAAGGTCCTCATGCCTGGAAATAGGAAGATGGACCAAGGGATCAGCAAGGGCCCCTCTGGGCGGGCCCATGGGGTGGAGGAGACCAAGGCCCAGACAGCTCAGCTCTGGGTGGCGGTGCCAGCTGCCCCTTCCCAATCAGCAAGGTGCCCAGAGCCCCCAACTCTGCCAGCCTCCCCAAGAGAAGCAGGTTCAGGAAAGCAAGGCCCCTTCCAATGCCCCCCAACCACTCTCAGGAAAATGGCAGCCACGCAACCCTTTCTCCAGAGCCCAGACAATTGCTAGTGTCGAAGCTACACCATCCCGCTCCCTGCAGCACAGATCAGAGCTCTGCATCAAACAAAACATCCAGGGTGGACAGAAGGGGAGTTGCTTTGTCACACCCAGGAGGGGACTCTGAGGCCTCCATGAGCAGAGTGCAAAACCCACTGTTCTATCCCAACCCCCTCAGGGGACCAACCAAGAAACTGAGGCCCAGGCAGGAACAGAAAGTAGCTCAATATGACACAGCCCTGGCCACAGAAGTAGGGTCCAAACTCAGAGCTCTTGGCTCCATTAGGTGCCTTCTGGGTGGCATGAGCCATTTGTCCTTCCCAGACAGTGCAGTGTTCTCAATCCTGGGTGTCCTTTCATCCCTTTTAAGCCACAGTACTGGACCCCCACAGATCCAGCCAGCTAGGTTTGCCAAAGGGGTCCAGGCAGCAATTTAAAGTTTCTGTTTTGTTTTGTTGCTGTGCTGGGAATGGAACCCAGTGCATTGCACATGTGATTCAGATGTTGTACCACTCAGTTACACCCCAGGCCAGCCCAGCCCAGGCCAGCCCAGCCCAGCCACACTTTTTTAAAGTCCCCAGGTGACTCAAATGTGAGCCAGGGTGCAGAATCTCTGCTGGTGAAAAGAGGAGGCTGACAGCTCATCGCCAGGCGTGGCCCTCAGGAGTCACCTGCTAACGGAAGGGTGATCTTTGTCAAAGGAAGCCAGGGGCCAGCCTCCTGTGTACCTTAAGGGTGGACTCTGCCTTCTAGAGTTTCCAAGTCTGCTTCTTGGGGTCAAGGTGCATGAGCTGTGTACCCTCAAGGTCAAGGTTGCTGCCCCTGGGAGGCGACTGGGCTGCCTTCAGACAGGGACTCAGAAAGACTCAGTGCCCTTCAAGCTGCTGTGTCCCAGTTCCTCTGCAGCCAAGATCGGACCTAACACTTCTGGGCCTCTTGAACATGGGGTGCGTGCAGCTGTGTGTGTGGGCACACGGGGAGCTCTGGGCCTTCAGAGCTGAGTCAGCCAACACTGAGGTCCTGCAGCCCCACCAGGACCCCCATCTAGGCACTGTCTGCACCTCTGTGACTTGGATTCCTCTTTGATTGGGAGACCTCGAGTTTCAGCTCTGCCTCTAACTGGTTTTGTGACTGTGGGGAGGTCATTTTACACTCTGAGCCTCAGTTTCTCCATCTAGAAAATGGAGAGATAGGTGGACCTCAGATGGCTCTCTTGGGCCAATCTGAGGACTGCTGTCCAAGTCCATCATGTGACAGACCCCAGAGGGGTTCACAGCCACATGAACAGCTGCTGCCCCACAGCTCCAAGATGCCTCTCCCAGTGCTACGGAATGCGGGGTTGGGGCCCAGCTTCCGGTCCGTCTCCCATTCCTACTCAGATGACGCTGTGGCCCTGGGTGACCCACCCTAGAGTCATCCTGGGACTTTGACTTTGCCAAGTAGGAACCAAGCCAGCTTTCCTGCTACCCCAAGACTTGAGTCTGAGCTCCATGTCCCAACGCTGGTTTTCAGCATGGAGAGGAGGCCGTGACCTGGGCTTCAGCACCTGCTGAGCACCAGGCTGCACCCCAGCTGGGCCCTGCAGGAGAGGACATCTCGGGCCACTGTCCCCTGAGCCCCTTCTTGCGTATGTCCAGTGGAGTCTCTAGTATCGACCTCCAGGCACTGGGGGGAGCAAATGAGCCCCTACAGCTCAGTACATGGCTCAGGCACCGCGTTCCGCCATTCCTTCCCTTCCCCTCCTGAGACTCACTGCTCAGGAACAGAGCTGACCATCTCCAAGTCACAGAAAGGCGAGAGGAAAGGGTGGAACCTGTTGCCACAGACAAGGGGCCCAGGGCTCTTGCCTGTGCTCACCCTTCAAGGCTCTGTTTGGGCCCTTCTTCCAGGAAGCCTTCCCTGACTGTTCAGCCCATGCTACTTCCTGTTTTTCCACTCCTCCTTCCACCATGGTGGCTGCTCCCAAGCTGCACAGCAGACTTGGGGACACTTGAGGCTGTTCACAGGTTCAGGACAGAGCCTTAAAATGACGACAACAATGATAACAGTTATCATGATTAAGTGTTCACCACAGGCCCAGCAGTCGTTGTGCACTCCCAGTGGCCCTTGGGAGAAAAAGTCAAGCTGTTCAAGTCACATCCTGGCTATGCCACTCACTGGCTGTGTGACCATAGGCAGGTCTCTTAATCTCTCTGTGCCTTAGTTTCCTCATCAGAGATGGCTGTGAGAATCCATTAATGTATGTAAAGTGCTTAGGATGGTGAGTTCTGGGCAGCAGTGCTAAGTCCATTGCTGATTTTGGCATCATCTATACCCTGTAGATGAAGAATCAGAAACCCAGGTGGGACAAAGGATTTTCCCAAGGCCAGAGAGCCGTGCAGCCACAGAGCCATGATTGAGCCACCATACCTGCTGCCCTTTCTCTGGCTGGGACCCTGGACTGTCACATCGGGGCCTCTCTGGGCCAGAAGGGACCCCGGCACTAGCCTGGACCTGGTCCCTTTTTAGGACAGGAGTCCCTTCTGCAGCCCTGGCAGGAAGGTGGCCGGGCCTCAGCCAGAGCTCTCAGGGGGCAGGGACAGACCCTGCCTGTGTCTCCCATGCTAACACCCCCAGACCCCTAAAGCAACACTTGATGAATAGGTGGACCAGGGGCTCCACCACCCCAGGTGCTCCGGTCCCTGGGGCCTGGGAAGCCCTGGTTTGAAGATGCTTGAGCCTCTGGCCCCATGGCCACCCCACTCCCAGCCTCCTCTGCACCCACCAGTGTGGCTACCCTGCTATGGCTTCGTTGCCCCAACCTGTCCTCCACCCTCAAGGAAGCTCTGTGGGGGAGGAGCGGCCCCGGCCTTCCCAGGACAGGTCAAACTGGAGACACTTCTGCCCGGGGCCAAGAGACAGCTGGGGCACTGAATCACCCCCGAAGCACACAGCCCCAGAGCGGGCAGTGGCGCCAGGCAGCAGGTACCACTCTTTCCTCCTCTCCCCTCCTGCCTGCCGCTTCAGAGTGCCCGAGTCCCTTCCTACCCCTCCAGGCCCACCCACCACAACCAGCCTTTTGGTCCTGGTGCCTTGCTGGGCTGCACTGCTCCAGACTTGGTTCCTTCCCCTGACCAGCTCCTCATCCCTCTCATCCGGTGCCCAGGGACCATCCTGCTTCCGACTAAGTTCATGCCAATGCTTAGATCTTAGTCGGGTACTTGCTCTCTAAGAGTGAGGGATTTTACCCCCAGGACATACTCGGCAGTAGCTGGGGACATTTGGGGGTGTCACAAATAGGGGTGGGAGTAAATAGAGGCTGATGCTGCTCGGCCCCCGACACAGCTCAGACATCCCCATAGTGCTCAGGTTGAGAACCTGGTCAGGGACAGGGCTGGGGGCCTGGGAGGTGCAACACTTATAGGGCCTGTACCCTAGCTTCCTAGCATCTTGGTCACCTGTCCCCAGCACAGTCTCATACTGGGACTCCTCTAAAGCCAAAGAAGCTAGCTCCCCGGTGGCTCCCAGAACCACCTTAAGCCCTGACCCAAATTCTCCTTGGCTTCCTAGGAGAAAGGAGGTGTGGCCTCACCTCCTACCACCACAGGCCAGGAGGGCATAGCCTGGCACACAGCTCGGGCATAATGCAGGGCACTGAATGGCTGGAGGAGACCAGATCTGAAATCCCTCCTCCTCAAGGGCCGGGTACAGTATCTGAGAGGCTAAATTCCAAGTAGGATTGCGTGTGGGTTCAAGTCCTGGCCCTGACACTGAGCAAATGGCTTCCCTCTCTACACCCTGTCTCTCCCCTCTGTTAGATCGGAAGATGCTAACTGTGAGCCTAGGCCAAGAGCTGCTATCAGGGTGAGATTCCAAAATTTGTGTTCAAGAGTTAAATTCCAGAGGCTGCCAACCCCGAGAACAGCGCTGGGCACCTGGCAAGAACTATATAAGTAGATAGGATCTTTAAAAATCATTTACCTTCTGTTTTCAGGCTCACAAGGTGCCAGGGGTGGGTATACATCTCTCTCTATACTTGTGTGCCTTGAACAGCCCCCCTGGAACAGCTTGCAGGGCACAATGCCCTCCAAGCCCCTGGGCAGCATTCAGACGCTGCAAGTTGTTTTACACGCTTAGCCTCCCCCAGTTCAAGTGCTCTGCTGGAAATGCAGCTATCAAATGCCAAGATCCAAGCATCCTTGATTGGCTGCTGTGCCCACGCCAAGGCTAAGGAGCGGGCAGCTGGGCCAGGCCTAAGGCCCAAGGAGGCACTGCACAGCTCCCAGGGAGAAAGACAGGCAGGGCTCAGTACCAAGGACCCGCAAACGTAGGGACTTCTGACTCTTACCCATATATGTCCACGACAGTCTCCACGCCAGCCACGCACACAGCACTGGTGGGATGCTCCAGGGACACACGTACAATCCTCTGCAGTGACATGCTGGCCTTGGACTGGGCTTTGGCCACCAAACCCAACACTGCCCAGGAGGCCCCTTGAGATGTGGTTTAAAAGTCCATAGCCCCTCCCCTCCAGCACAGGGTGCAAGCTTATTGGCTCCAGTCCTGGAAGCCCAGCCCCTTTCCAAAGTCAAGAACTCAGGATTGGCTGGAAGGGACCCAATATTTGCATATGAACCCATTGCTCCCACTCTGGCACCCAAGGAGTTAATTTCTTGCTCTAAGGAGAGCAAGTCCCCACAGGTACCTGCCCAGGGCATTGGGGATTATTGGGGGCAGGGGAGGAAGAGGGTTAGAGATGTGTAGAATTGATCTTGACCCTTCCTTCCTCCTCCTTTCCTGCATTTTCTGAAGCAATATGGTTTAGTGGGGAGTTGGGTAGGAAAGTAGATTCCCAGGCCTGCTCCTACCTGACGCAGCAGGTTAGAGGGGCAGCCAGCATCTGGATCTTCAGAGCATTCTGATGACCTTGAGAAACTCAGCCTTTTTCTTTAGAGCACGGGCTTTAAGGCAGTACTGGGTGCCAGTCCTGCCTAGCCTCTTCCTGTTTGGGTCACTTATTTGCTCTGGGCCTCACTGTTCCCATCTGAGAAATAGCTGCTGTGAGGCTAAGATGGGCTAGCGTTGGGTGAGCTCTAGCACGGAACTGGGCCTTGCCCCATAGCCCTTGCTATTAGTATTGGATGCCAAAACCTCTGAAAAGGGTAAATGATGATGATTTACCTCTGAGATAAGGAAATCATCTCCAGGCTACAGGAATTCAGAATAGCAGCATAGGAAGCTCACTTGTCAGGTGGAGAAACTGAGGCAAGAAGGGGCATTTGGGCTCCGGAACAGCAAGAGCAAGGGCTCTGGGGAGAGGAATCTTGGGTTCAGATCCAGGCTTCACCATGCACTGGTGAAGTGGCACTGGGGGGCTGCATCTCCTTTCTTGGGGCCTCAGTTTCCTTATCTATAGAAAACATGACTAATGGCCAGCTCTGGCAGAGATAATGGCAAGGGCACACCCTGTCCATCAGAGGCTCTAGGAGGTGCTGAATAGAGGTTTCCTTCCTTCTCTCAGGTGGTGCTGCTTATCTGAGCAGGCAGGGACAAGGACCCGCTCCTTAGAGCCCTCAGCTGGGGCATTTGCGCTGCCCAAGGGTCTCAGCAGGACCCTGAGATGGGCTCTTATGGGGACAGGGGTGGGGACAGGGCTCCTATGGGGACAGGGCTCCTATGGGAATAGGGATCCAATGGGGACAAGGCTCTTATGGGGACAGGGTTCCTATGGGCACAGGGCTCCTCTACCCTAATTTCTGGGAAGAACATTCTTTTCACTGAAAGCTGTGGGGCCTCTGGGTCTAGAAACAACTTTTTTTTTTTCAGCTGTAAAATGGGCTAGTGGCTGGCTCAGCTCAAGACAAGAGGTAGACCTCAGGAGGATGCCATGTCTCCCCATCCTGGCTCGGAACATGTGGAGGTTTTCTGGGGGTCACTGCACTGGAGACAGGCTGGCCTCCTGCTCAGACCCCATGTCTCCCTGGAAGTGGATCTGTGCCTCCACTCCCCCAGTTAGTACCAGCTTTTAGAAACAGGTCCATGGTTTGTTCTGACTAAAGTGCCAGGGACCAATGAGCAGCAACTTCTGGCCTCTTAGTCCACGCCAAAAGCTAAAATAAAGCTAGCGGTGATTTGGTATCAAAGGGCATCATCTGAAGCAGCAGTGGAGAAGAGGAGGGGGTAATGTTTGGAGGCCCCTAAAATCAGGTCACGCGAAGGTTCCACAGCAGGGCTGAGCGGAACTGCGGTGGCCAGAACTGCTGAGTCGTGGCCAACAGGGCCCAGCCCTCCCCACCTCCCTTCTGCACCCCAAGATGGCCCAGGGGAGGCGAGGGAGGAAGAGGTAGGCCACAATCCTCCCCGATACACATCTCAGCTGGGCAGTCGGCCCCAGGGCACTGGGCATGTGCTGAACCAGGGCTCAGCTGACTCAGCAGCCCACCTGGCACTCGCTCACTTTGCACAGGCACACCGGTGCTCCTGGCTGGCTGGGCCGGGAAGGAGCTGAGCCCCTGAGCCAGGCCGAGCTGCTGGTGGGGTGGGCAGAGCCCCAACCTGTGTGTCCCTCTCCCGCAGCCCATCACACAAGCAAAGGAAATGCATGCCGATGTTTTTATTGATCAGAAAGGAGGTGACTGGTCACCAGAACACTCCTAGCAGGACCCAACGGCCCCAGCAGCAATTCCAGAGCCTCACAACTCCCTGTCTCTCTGCGAGCCTGCTCCCCTCCCACCCAGGGCCCTTCCCCTAGGAGGTTCTGATCCCAACCCACATCCTCAGCCCCTTCTTCACGGCTCAGCCTTGGCTGGGTCCTGATCCTAAGACGAAGGTGCCAAGGTCAGAGCAAGAGTTTACAAAGGGGCCTGGGAACTTTCAGGAAGGGGAGGATCCAGGTTCCCACCCGTGTAATCCACAGCAGTTCCACCGAAGCCTTTGTTCTGGGCCTAAAAACGTGACAGTAACTGGTTTGGTCTGAAGACTCTCCAGGGGCCCCCACAAATGCAGACAGGCAGACGTCCAGGGACTAAGAGCAGCCATGGTCCCTAGCCAGTAAGGAGGAAGCAGGCTGTCTTCTCCTGCCGGCCCTGAAGCCACCCAGCCTGCCTGCTCCCACAGGCCCCGGTGGCTTCACGGGGCTATTAACCTGGCGAGCAGCTGTCTGTCCTTCTGTGGCAGGGACCTGGCCTGCCATGGGGGAGTTGCTCACAGGCAAAAACTGCATCCACATGTGCGTGTGTGTGCGTGAGTGCGCACGCCTGTGGGGCCCCAGGTTGCTGAGGGACAGCGGACCAGCCTTCCCCTCCCCCTGCCTGCAGAAGGAAGGGGATAATGACAGACTATTAAAGGAAATTAAGCCCCACCTTCAGAGATAACCTAATGGTCCCCCACCCTCTTCTAACATCTGGCCCCACCCCCACCACATCTGGAACAGCCAGCTGCCTGCAGATGCAGGGTTCAAACTCCAAAGCCCTGGAGGTCCCAGAGCCCAGAAGCCTCCAGGCCCGGAGGTCCCTGCCCAGCCTCCTCTGCCACTCTGGCCTTATCCCCTCCTGCCCAGGCTCCTTACTCAAGCTCCCTAAGTCCCTCTCTACCACTCAGCACTTTTAGGCAGGAAGTGGCCAGCTCTCCTAATTAGAGGCTTCCAGACAGGTAACGAGCACCCTTTGAGGGCCGAGGCAGATATTCAAGGGGTTTCGTTGCCTCCTTTCTTTTCATAACAAGCCCTCAGACACCAGGGGTTCCTGTCCCTGTTTGCTTCCTACAGCTGAAGGGTACTGGGGGTCACTAGCTGGGTCCCCTTAGGAGAGGGTGCCCAGATCTCTCTTCCTGGCGTGATGAGAGCCATAGGCTGCCTGGAACTGGGGTCCTCACAGCAGACCCTGAGGGCTCAGCTTCCACTCCTGGCGCAGACCCAAACACACTCTTCCTAGGCCCCAGAAGGCGTCCAGATAGAGGGGAGCCATTCTCAGTCAGCTTGCTCATGCAAAGGCTACTGGCCTCGGACCTCTGGGGGCCATGGCTGAAGGAGAGGGGAAGTCGGGGTCAGTCATCCTTGGGCCAGGCAGGGTGGCATCCTCCCCAGAGCCCAGTGCCTACAGTGGCCAGCACACTTGCAGGCACGGGGGGAGGTACCGAGGGCCCCCAAGAGGAAGGAGGCTGGTATATGTCTTGCCCTTGCCAGGCAGGGTAACCCAGCAGGATGGCAGAGAGAACGGCAGGCAGGAGTGAACTCAGGGCACCATGTGCCACCACTTGAAGGCAAAGGGCTTCCGGCGCACGTTGGTGCCGCAGTGAATCTCTCCCTGCAGCCGGTGGTAGGACAAGTAGTCATCGATGAAGATGCAGTGGAGGCCCAGCGGCTCCAGCAGCAAGCGCACCTTCTCCTCCAGGCAGCAGCGGCCGTTGATGATCGGCCCATAGGGCTTCGGGATACCTAGGTACTTGCCCAGCACCACCATGTTCACCTGCAGAAGGCAGAAGGCAAGAGGGAGGCTGGGCTGGCCATGGCCACCCATCCCCGGGGCCTGACATCTTTGCCGGGACTCCTGGGCCGCCAGGACGCACAGCCACTCAAGAACTAGGGCTGTGAAAGCAGAGGAGGAACACATGCATGGTTGGAAGGCAGGACTGATATTTGTACCAATCAAAGTCACCCTTTCTTCTAACACTTTCTTCCATCTATCAGAAAATTGTCAATTGTTTTACTGCCGTCTGCCAGCAATTTGTACAACAAATATACAGAGCTACCATGGGGTGAATGGGGCAGGGATGATTCTGCAGTGCCCAGGCTGCTCAACTATCTTTGGCAGCCCTGATCATGTTACCATTTATTGAGCGTCTTCTATGTGTCAGCTATATCAGCACTAAAGCTCACAGCCTCCCTCTGCAGTTATGGCTCATACTGTTAAGTAACATGATCAAGACCACGCAGCCAGAGAGCAATGAGATTAAAACTTGCACTTGGCTCTGACTCAGGCCAAAGTCTATGCTCTTGGCCCTTGCTGGAACCAGGCCACCTGTGGGGCTGAGGAATTGGGGACTGGGAGATACTGAGTTTATTGGTGGTGGCACCTCTCTGCTTTCCTTGGTGGCTTGGGCCCTATTCTGGGGAAGGACAGTCCCCTGGACAGGTATTGTGACAGCTTCTCAGGGAAACTCTCAGCCCGAGAGTGACGGCATAAAGTGCAAGGGGACTGCCCGAGGTGTCCAAAGGGGACACAGGGCCACCATCTGGGGGGTAGTCCCAGGTGCCTCAGTATGGGGGTGTCTAGGACATGGGCCCTGGCACTCTCCATGCCCTGCGCCTTGCCCTGCCATGCCACCCATAGCCAAGACCAAGGTGAAGTCAGGGGCCCATGGTCAGCCCCTGGCCTCGGCTCGAACTCCCTTGCTACCCATGATTGGCCGGAAGAGGCCGGGTGGGGGTGGGGCAGGCTGGGGCCCAAGGGCAGGGAGAGGAGTAAGGAGCCAGGCTGACAGCCATCGGCAGCAGGCTCCGTTCCTCCTGGTGAGGGGCACAACTCAGGCAAGTCACCCACTTTCCTTCCGATCCTCGGTCTCCCCACCTGACAAAGGTGGAGGTTACTGAGTGTGCCCCGAACACCTTTCCAGTGAGGACAGACGGGTACCCCATGGGGAGCCTGGACAGTGTCTGCCAGGGAGGGGTCCCCACAGCCACAGCCCAGGGAGGGCGAAGGTCATGGATCCCTGCCTCAGCCTTCCCCACCCTCAGCAGAGCCAGGACCCAGTGGTCCCTTAGAGCTTTGCTGCCCCACACGGCAGCCACTAGCCATGTGGCTGCTTAAATCAAAATTAAACCACATTAAGCCAGGTGTGGTGGCACATGCTTGTAATCCTAGCACTCTGGGAGGCTGAAGCAGGAGGATGGCCATGAGTTCAAGGCCAGCCTGGACCGCACACTACAGCAAGACCCTGCTTAAAAAAATTAATTAATTAATTAAATTTAAAAACCAACTAGATGAGTGCTGACTGGTATCTAGTGGGCAGAGGCCAGAGATGCGCTCAGCATCTGACAGCACAGGGAGGGCCCAACACCCTTCCTCAGAGCAGTGGGCACCGGGGTCAGGGTGCACCAATCACATCGTTCTGGCCCCTCCCAGGTGCCACCCAGGTGAGGTCACCTCTGCTCACCCGCCCATCAGCTGCCTTGGTAATGAGAGTCAGCAGGGCCACCACCGGCCCTGCCTGCCGATTCAGGCAGTCTCCTGTCACCTGCGGGGCCACCGGGGGAAAAACAGAAGCCCAAAACACGTGGGATCAAACCACTTTTTCTTCTTCCATTTGGAGCGGGACTGAGACAAAGCCCTTTGTGGTGGGGACCGCACTGTGCCCTGCAGGTGTGCAGAGCACCTGGGTCTCGCCCACCAGGTCCCGACAGCACCCCTCACTGTGCACTCAAAGGCACCTGGGGCAAGAAGTTGGCCCCAGCTGGGGACACTGACAGCTGTCCCCCTACCTCCGACCCTGCAGGACCTGAGCCGGGGCTCTCCCTCACCATGTCTGGGAAGAAGGCTTCAGCGTAGGCGCCCTTCAGGGAGAAGAGCTGCGGGATATCGATGATGTCATCCTCTGCCAGGCCCAGCTCACGCTTCAGCACATCGCGGTTCCAGTCGATGCAGCTCTGGGGAGGAAGGTGGCGACAGTCTCGGGTCAGCAGCACCTAAGTGGCCCTGAGCGCCTGTAGGCTCCTTAGGGTCTCACACAGCTCTGTGAGACAGGGGCCACTGTGGTCCCAAGGTGGGGAAACCGAGGCACGGGCAGCCGCAGTAATGAGGCACACCACACAGAGAAGGGGCAGGGCTGGGGCTGGATCTGGGCAGTTTGCAGTTCCAAGTCCCTGTTGCTTTGCCACACTGTCCCAGTCCCAGCCACAGCATGCCTTGTGCCGCTGCCCATTTCAGCACTCAGAGGAAGTGTTGGCTGCTGTTGCGCTGCACCCTGTGCCAGGCACACAGCAGGTATCACGGGGGAACCCCACCCTGGCTGGAGGCCCTGGGCCCCCGTTCTTGGCACTGCTGCCCACCAGACCCTTTCTCCCCGTATCTCTCACTCACCACACTTCCGGAGGAGAGCCTGGACCTGCTGCCCTGGGAACGACTCATCTCCCTCACCACCTGGCAGGGCCCGGGCTCCCTCACAGGACTGGGCTCCCAGTCCTTTTCCTTTGTCGTGGAGCCCCTGGTGCGACAGGCTCCCCACAGCTCTAGGACAAGCCCAGGCCCAGACCAGTACCCACCCCTGGGCAGTGCCCAGGCTCCACATCCCTCACCTGGACATGGAAGCTGTCATTCCTGAGGTGTCTGTCTGCCAGCATCTCATTAATGCTTCTCTTCACCTTGTGTCCTAACCCTGCAAGAGAAAGAGGGTACAGGGCCCAGGGAATCCTTCCCTGGGGCCACCTCACCCTGAGGTGACAAAACCCAGGGCAGGATGTTCCTCTTGCCCGTGCCAGGGTCAGAAACCAGCATGGCGAAAGCCAGAGGCTGCAGGTACGACCCAGTGGCAGGTCAGAGACCCTGGGAAGGGAATCTGAGACTTGAGGGCCAATAATTACAGCACAGCTACCATTACTGAACACTCACAGTGCTCTGGGAAGCCTCATTAATTGATCATTGATCTTTAAAACAGTTCTGGGAGCAGTTAATTATCCCTCCACTCATGAGAAAAGGAAACTGAGGCCGGAGAGGTTCAGAACTCCCTGTGGTTGAGGCCACAGCCAGCACATGCTAAGACCAGGATTCGAACCCAGGCCTGTCCATCGGAAAGGCCACATCCTCCCCTATGCCTATCCAAGGACCTAGGGCCCTCAGCTTCCCACCCCTGACCCAGGAAAGGCCGAAGCATTCTCATCCCACATCCCCAAGCACCCAAGGGTGCCATTCAGGCTCCAAACCAGCCTGGGTAGAGCCTTGAAGGGCATCACCAGTGCTTGGGCTGGTGATGAAAGGGCAGGAGCTCCCCGGGGTGGCCGAGGGACTGGGCCATGGCACTCACCAGCAAACTGGGCTGCCTCCCCATAGCCCTCCTCTTTCTTTTTCTGGAACAGCCTGAGGCAGGCGCTGGGGCTGGCCAGGAGCACCCGGAAGCCCTGCACAGAGGGAGGGCAGCCCAAGCCCGGGCAGGGTCTGAGTTGAGGAGCTAGATCACACATGGGGCTCCCTTCTGGCCTTGATGTCACCATCAGCCACAAGACTGTCTGCAATGTCCCAACCCACCTGGGGCCCTTCCCACTTTGCCCCCTGAGGAGCTCTTATTTCTGCCTTCAAGCCAATGCAGCAGTCCCCTTCACGGGCACAGGCAGAGCTTGGCACACACTCCAGCTGCACCCTGTCACTGCCCATCAGAGCTCCTCCTTGCTGGCTTGGAACCAGCAGCCTGCTTGCTCCCTGAGGGCCATGCCCTCCCCAGTGCCCTCTGCGAGGTAGTGGAGCCCAGTAGTTAGCATAGAGACCAGATTTGAATCCTACTCTGCTGCCTGCAAGCATGAGTTTGGGTAAGTTAATGGCCCTTTGAGCCTCAGTGTCCTTACCTGTAAGGGGGCCAATAATAACAGCACCACCTCTTGGCCTGGGTGGAGGACTGCATGCATGAAGCACATAGTAGGCACATAGTAGGCGTTCAGTAAATTTGCCCATTATTATCAATGTTCCTGGCTCTTGGCAGAGGAAGTCGGGTCTGAGTATATACTCACCTCCTCCAGGCAGCCCCCACCCCAGGTTGACACAGCCCAGTCCCGGTCCCCCTGGACACAGGGTGGAGCCAGACCTAGGTGGGACCATCAAGCCAGGCAGGGGCTGAAGCAGCTCAGGCAGAGGCCATGGTGTCGGGGGGACACACCTTCGGGTCAGAGGTGGGCACAAAGCTCAGGAACTCGTCCACATGGCCCACAGACAGCCAGTCCGAGTAGAGCTCCACAGGTGCCTGCACCTGCTGGGCTGCCAGGAAGTCTCGCACCACCTTGGCCATCCGCCGCCCGCTAGACCTGCGGAGACAGCGGCTGTCACCTGGTATCCTCCTGCAATGGTGTGTGCAGACCCCCAAGCTGCATAGTAAGAATGAGTCCTCTTTCCCAGATGTGGAAACTGAGGCCCAGGGGCCAACGTGACCAAGCCTGGGCCGCACAGCTGGGAAGTGACAGGGCCAGACCCCCTGGTTCCAAGCCCGAGCTGGGGCTGGAAGCATGGGAGCCAGCAGGGAAGGCAGGAAGCGGCCTTCATAGGACTCCACAACTGCTCAGCATGGCACCAGTTCAGCACTGCCCAACCCGGGCCTGTCACAGCCTGGAAGCTGGTCTTTAGTCGCTCATCTCCAGAGGAGGTGCCCTGCTGCACCTGACACCCCTGAGTCATATGACAGACTCCACCTGCCAGGCAGAACCAGAGACCCTCCACAGCCTGAGATTCAGAGAGAACTGCCTCTTTCTCAAGGGACATGCAGCTTTTGCTCAAAATAGGACCAGGACCCAGCGAGCCCCTTCTTGAGCACAGAGTCTGATTCTGTTGGAGGGTTTCAGTGAGATTCCTGGGCCCTGGTATGGCTCCACCTCACAGGCATGGAGGATGTGGCCCAGGAATCTGCATTTGGGTGGCTGTCAGATTCTTGTGCATTGCAATTTGAGCGCCTGCCCTGGGCATTTGTTCTCCATGATGTCTGATCCCTGAGTTCACAAAACCACTTCTGGGCATTGTCATACCACCCTTTGTGGGGGAGCTGACATGGACAGATGGGGGCTGCTTAGAGGAAGGGGTAGCAGAGCAGGACACAGGCCCTGTGCATGGGGACTGTCCACAGGACAGGGGAAGAAGGCATCACCAAGCAGGGAGGGACCCTCAGTGTCCCATTTCACAGATCGGGCAGTTGAGGCTGAACTGAAGGAGGTAGTGTTACCATCCAGATGCCGTAAGATGACACTGTCCAGCCTTCCCCAGCTGTGCAGGAAGACACTAACACGTGCTCTGTAATACATGCTTCTCAATCTGTCTTATAAACTAGGGTCACACTTCTTGCCCTCACTTGTCTGGCCTAGGGACAGATGGACCAGCTCCTGGACCTGTGTCCACTCTGGCAGCTCTACCCTTACCAAGGGAAAGAAGTGATCCTTCCTCTGCCTCCACCCGGCCAGCTGTCATCTTCCCAGGCACCCACTCCCCACAGTCCAATGGCTTCTGTCCTCACCTCCTTCAGGCTTAACTCAAATTCACTCTATGAGGCCTTTCAAAGCAGCAACATCCATCCATCTTTATTTCTCTCTGCCGCACTGGGCAAGGCCCGGCAGACTGCCATCTTATTTGTTGTCCTGAATTTCCAGAGAATGGAAGCTCCCCAAGGACAGGGCTTTTGTCCAAGTTGTCCACAGCTTTGCCCCCAGCACCTCACACATGACACCCACTTCAAAACTGTCACATGTGGTAAAAAGGCTTTGTTCAGCCACTAGGTATGAGCAGTCCGGGGTCTATGTTTTGTGTACGACAGATAACGGCCCTGATTGGAATTTTTGGGATGGGATTTGTGGGAAATTTTTCTTGTGTTTTGTTGTTTTAGTATGAAATAAAATTTTAAAGGATATTTTTTGGAGACAAGATCTCACTATGTAGTCCAGACTGGCCTTGAACTCACTTTGTAGCTCAGGCTGCCCTCGAACTAATTCCCAGCGATACCCCTGCCTCAGACCCCCCAATGCTGGGATGACAGGCGTGTGCCATCGCACCCGGCTGAAGGGATTGCTCTGAAAGCAGTGAGAGGGTGCGGAGAAGAGCTGGGCTTCAGGAGTATTCATGAGGAGACAGCAGCAGGAACGAGAAGGGGGTGTGGGGAAAGGGTGGGGTCTCTCTGCGGTGCTCTCCATGCCAGCACCGGGTGGGGTCCGGAGGATTGGACCCAATGACCCCCGGCCTGGGACAGCAGCCCTGTCTCTGAGTGATCATCAAAGCTGCCACTACGGGTGGAAATGCTCAGATAAGAGCCCAAGGTGTGCCACAAGGGTGGCGAATCAGCAGAGAAGGGACCCCCTGTTTGTTGCTCATCTTACTTCCCTCACACTAAGTACCTCTCATACGATCCTCTGGTAGCCCTAGGACATAGTGCAAATATCAGCTCAGGTCATGTGACGGGTGCTCTGCCGAGCTCTGAGACCAGTCCTCATGGCACCCCTCCCTGCACACTCAGGTCCATCTTCAAATGTGTCTGGCATGCTCTTGCCTCAGGACCTTTGCACAAGTGGCTTCCTCTCCCTGGAACATTCTCCTCCCAGACAGCCCCATCTTTAACTCCCTTACTTCCTTCAAGGCTTTGTTAAATGTCACATTTCCACCCAGGTGTGCAAAAAATGCATCGATCACTTACTAAGTGCCAGGCACATAGTCCTTTGGCCAGGTTACCTCATTTAATCCTGACTCCAGCCCTGTGAGGTTCTGACTATTACTATCCCCATTCTCCAGATGAGGACACTGAGGTTCAGCAGAGAGAAAGTGCATGCATTCATTCACGCATCCATACTTCATCTGCTCATCAGAGGTTCCATGCAGCTTACTTGTTGATTGTGTTTGCAAACTGCTTACCTCTCCTGCCAGAACGTGTGCAGGTTTCTGTTCACTGTTGAGCTCAGAAGTGGCAGCAGGGGCTCAGGACAGCAGCCCGAGGTACTAAATTTTAGTTTGGGGCCCCCGGGACAGGAGAACCGGGTTCTGCTTGTACCACTAACATGTTGTGTGGTCCTAGACACGAAGCTGCCAGCAAAGTCTGGGGGGACCCAGAGAGGCCTCCCCACCACCTGCCCCTGCCTGCTCTCTGGGGTCCTCAGGCTGCTAGGGGTGGGGATGACCTTGAGGGCCTGAGCAATGGCTGCACGCGGCAGAGCACTGACCAGCCTGGACCTGCAGGGCCCAGCCTGGCACTGATCTGTCTGTCTTTGCCCGTGCAGAGCTCCTTTCCACCGGCACCCAGGCCCCAGACCCCAGGGGGAGAAACTGCAAGCCTGTCTCCTTCGTCACACTACAAACCCCAGGATGGGTTTCCTCATCATCTCTGCACCCCAGATGGGCCCCAGGCCTGCTAACAGGAAGTCCCAATAAATGAGCATTGAACTGGTAGATCAATACAGGAACGAACGCACGTGTCTGAGCCTAAGCTCCTTGCCTATAACACAAAGCTAGGAACAGTCTGGACCCGACACGGCTGTAGGATAAATGAGGGAACTGGGTAACACTTCATGTGCCAGGCACACAGCAGTGGTATCCAACCTGCTTCAAGGAGGCCCATGGCTGGGGGCCAGCTGAACCTTCCATAAGCACTGGAAAGGTGGTTTAATGAGTTTTTTATCACGTCATGCTGATTATATAGCTGCCACAGAGATTTTTATTAGGCCCATTTTACAGAGGAGGAAACTGAGGCATGGATTATAAAATACATTTCTTATTTAAAATGTATCTACATTGTTTACGGCTATCTCCCTAGCACTGTCAACCATGCCTGGCACAGGATATTTTTTAATGAATTAATTGAGCACCTACTATGTGTTGGGAACTGTGATAAGTACCCAAATCACTTGATTGGTAAATAGCAAAGCCAGGACTCAACCCTGATTCAGACAAAGTCTGATTCATACTCTGGAGGCCTCTAGGCCTTTCAGCCCCTGGGTGCGGGCAGGACCCAGACCCAGAGTAATCATGAGCAGGTGGGCATCTCCTGGCCTGGGCACCCAGTTCAGCACCCTGGTTACCCAGGAAACTGCCCCTGAACTGATCCAGAGCCCGAAGCTGCTGATCACCACGTGGCCACAGCACTTTCCCAGGGAGACAGGCAGGAAAGGCCCTGAGCTGAGCTGGGAAGCAAGCATACAAACACACGCTTATAGCTTTGCTTTTTGGAGCCTCTGCCTCCCAGCTGCAACATGAAGACCAGAATCGTCCCACGTGATAGGGCCAGCCCAGGAGTAAATGGTGTCCCCTGGGTAAAGCATCATGTGCGGCATACCATAGGGGTCACCACAAGTTTCCTACAGAATGAAAGCTGCTCTCTAAAGCAATGTTTCCACTAATGACCAGCTCAGGAGCAGCTGGCTCTTCCCCAGAGCTTCCTGACACCCTCTCCTTGCTCCCTATGCCTGAGCTTGCCTGACAGCTGGACTTCCTGGGGTGGCCGTAGTGAGCATCTACTCCATCTTTGTAAGACAGGTATAGGTGAGCCCAACATGCAGGTGTAGATCATCAAGTCAACAGCAAACCCTGGTGCTGAGAGAACTGCTGTGTGCAGAAATCCTGGGACTGTGTGAAACAGCTGACGGTGAGTCTTCATGAGCCACCCTTTCTGTCTACGTAAATCTTACTCCTTGGGTCCTCGAGAGACAGCCCAGTCGCCCTATCCAGTGCACTGTGCTTTGTGCTTGAGCACAAGATCCAGTGAAGACTTATTCGGATGACATTGCTTCCTTTTCATGATTTCTACCTCAAACTGAGCAAAAGAACCCAAGGCTGAGCTGGTCACACTGAGAGCTGAGAGCCAGCAATACCAAGAACTGACAAGACTCGTAACACCCGCACTGGGTGAGTCTTCTGGGCCCTGGACCCAAGGCCAGCCAGGGCCAGGGTGCAGGTCAGGACACACCGAGGCTCCATGCCAGCCTCTCACAAACAGACAGGTAGCCTCTGAGGCTTGCAGTGGGATCCTGAGAAACATTCCCTCATCAGTTACCTTTAGGCAGGGTGTACAACCCATCGGCCTGGGGTAGTAGACATCGCCACCTGTCTGAGCCCTAAATGCCTTGTGCCCTGCCTGAAATGGGACCCACCAAGTCACCTGGCATCGTGGCCAACCACTCACTCACCTGCAGCCAGCTGCCCTGGGCTCTGGTGACCTCTGGGCCTTTTCAGCTGTTGCCAGGACAGCAGCTATTCTGGCCTCCTGGTGGGAGACACCAACAAGCCCTTCCCCTGTCCCTGTGCCAGGCACATGTCACCTCTGCAGCTCTGCCAAAATCACAGAGAAGCTGGGAATCTGGCGTGTCTGGGGCATCCCAAAGTACATGTTTAATCCCAGTGACTAATTAAGCTCATAAAATTAGGTGGCCGAAAGACCCAAGGCCACTAGTTTCCTCCTACGATTCTGTGACCTTTTAAATCTGAGATTCTAGGACTCTGAGTCTGATTGGAGGATTCGAATCAGGCAGGAAGGTAAGACCACCTCTCAGACTGGGGAAGTGTGCTGGTGATGATGAGGGAACCTCAAGGGTGGGTACTGCCATCATCCCATGTGCCCCTGTCCCTTCCCCGCTGGCCTCTCACTTGGGGAAGCTGCCTCCGATGAGGATCCGGCCCAGGGGGTACTCCGTGTCGCCCACTGTCACGGGTGGGCTGACGTCCAGGTTGCCGAAGGAATCTAAGCTGGAGGCGCCAGAGAAGAGGAGCTCCCGGGTCACGTAGCCAAAGTCAGGACTCTAGGGAGGGACCAGCAAGACGCCAGCCCAAGGAGGAGGGGTCAGTTAGGACAGGGAGGGGCAGCTCCAGAAGAGGACTCTGCTCCCTGGCTATCACACCTGGAAAGCCACGAGGCCCTCTCCCACATCCCCCTGCTCTCTGGGCACCTTGCCGTTTAAGTTCAAGCCCCAAACCGAGAAGCAACCAGAAGGTCCCCAGGTGTCTGGAAATTAAGCAGCACGAGTCTGCAGATCCCGTGGCCAAAGAGGAAGTCTAAGCGGAAGTTAGGCCACACACTGATGGGAAACATAATAAAAATACAGCACAGGAAAACTGGAGGGGCCTGGCGGGGAGCATGGAGCAAGGATGGTGTGCCACCAAGGCCCCAACACACACATTAGGAAGAAGAAAGGATCCAAAGTCGCAGCCTCTGTTTCAAGCTAAGGAAAGAACAACAAGCTAAACACAAAGAAGATGACAAGCAGCAGCAGTGAGAGCAGGAATCAGTGAAAAATCTGCCGGCACCTGCCCGACGCTCCTGGGGTTGGCCAGCCAGGGTTCCCACCGCGCTGCTCCATGCTGCCCCTAGTCGAAGCACTTACCCTGCAGGGTTCACTGGCACCTGGCCTTGGCCAAGTTACTCAACATCCCTGAGCCTCAGTTTTCTCGCCCACAAAGATAGGACATAACCGTACGTATTAGTAACAACAGAGTGCCCCAGGGAAATCTAGGGGACAGCGCCTGGAACTCAGTGTCTGATGGCAGCTGCTGCCACCCCAATCCTGTGCACAAGAGGCAGCATAGTGCCTGGCACAAAGTACGTGTTTAGAAAACATCTGCTGTCTGAAGACAGACTCCAGCCCTTCAAAGCCGTGAGGGGTCAGCAAGTGTGCATTCCCCCCTACAAAGCAGCTTGACCTTGTGCTGTTTCCCGTTGGGAACAAGCCCCTCACCTAGGAGAACTCTGCTATTCTGCTCGCCCCAGAATAGGGGAGGGGCTGTGGCAGTCACTTATTTGCATAAGATTTGCATCTCATTTGCAACCCCACCATGGCTCCCATTGGCTTCCCATTGCTGGCACCCCTGTTCTGTACCCTTCTGCCCCCTCCTCCCATTCTCTGCCCTGTGCCACACACCAGGATCTTCTTATAGGGAAAATCCCTCAGGCCTCTGTCTCTGGGGGAGTCGAAAACCACTGGGAAGGATTTGTGAGGGGCCTCAATATAGCCGAACTCCATCTCGTCCTGGGGGGAGAAGAAAGAGCCGCAGGATGGTTTTTAGCACAGGTGAGCCCAACACCTGGGAGTGGGGTGGGGTGGGTGGAGGTGAGGCCCCAGGACCCCACCAGGAGAGGGCTGGGTCCCTGGCTCCTCTAGGGAGGCCAAGGCAGTGAGGCCCTGTGCAGGTCCCCGTCCCCAGAGGACAGGGTCCTCTCTGGAGTCGCTCCACACCCACCCACCTGGATCCAGCGGTCGTTGCGATTCTCCACCCGAGGGCAGATGACTAGCTTGCAGTTGGCTTTCAGTGCCAGGTTAGCCATGTCGTCCAGAAACTTCTCATTGGAGCCGTGAGCATCTGTGACACTGTAAAAGATGCAGAGGGAGTTCGACGATGACCTCTGGCTACAACCTTGAGCCAGCCCCTGGGGCAGAGGGTCCCTGTCCTGAGAGAGGCTCACGGGGTAATGGGGTGGGGGTAAGGTCCCCCACTGTGACCCCTGCAATGTGAGCACTAAGGACAGGTGGTCGGGAGGTGGCCGTGGAAGTGACCTGAGCCTGCATCTTCCTGGGAGAATAGAGGAAGAGGGGGCCTCAGCAAAGGGTCAGGGTGCCTACAGGAGCAGGGGCTCCCTCATCAACACGGGCAAGCACCTGGGCTAGGTGGGCAGAGCTCACCTTCACTACCTGCTCAGCCTTGGCCCTCTCCTTGGTTCTGACCTGTGACGCTGAGGCCTCCCTGCTGCCAGGGGCCAGGGCAGGATTCTGAGAGATGGCAAAGCCCAAGGCCCTGGTGGAGCCTGGAGGCTGGGTCCCTGTCCCCAGCAGGCACAGGTATAGCCTCAACAGAGGGAGCCAGGCCTCCTGTGGCCCCCAGCAGCCTGAGCAGGGCTGGGGCCCTGGCTGGACCAAATCTGGGGTGCCATGGCCTCTGCAAGAGGACCAAGGGGGAGAAGATGGGGAAGCTTGAGCCTGTGACCTCAGCCAGACCCCGGCTGCTCAGGGCAGGGACCCTGGACCACCTGCTGTTGCCCTGTCCCCAGCTCTGCTCTGCAGCCATCCCAGGGCCGCCTCTCCAAGCTGGTGACAGGGGACAGTGGTGGGGAAGGGGCACACCTGCACACATAGAGCTCCAGGGGCAGCTGGGTGTTGGGGGTCATGATCCAGGGCGCCACACGGAAGGCCACGGTGTCTGTGAAGAGAGGCACCTCGGGCAGGGCCTGGAGGGAGAGGGGGACTCAGCAGCCTCGTGGGGACCCCAGGCAGCCCAGGTGTCCAGCCCACCCAGCCGGACAGCCCCCACCCAGCTCCTCGGCACCCGCACCCTGTGCCAGGGCATGCCTACCACTGTGTCCACCAGGTGGACACTGAGGGAGACCAGCCCCGAGAAGTCTGCATCGGGAAAGGTGAGCCCCTCAGCACAGAACCCGATCTCCCGCTCCCCCAGCTGCCGCTCCACTCGGTAGGACAGGTGCTGGGGCCCCAGGACCCCCTTGTAGTCGAAGATAGACGTCCCACCTAGGGAGAACCAGAGTCAGGACCCGTGCTGGGACCCGGGTTGGAGTGGGGTGTGTGTGGCAGGGGTGGAGTGCTGCCAGGACGGAGGACACGCCCACAGACATCATGCCCACGGTTGGGAATATAGGAGTAGAGCTGCCTTTTTGGTCAGGTCCATTTGGGTTCCTCTCCAAGTTTTGTCATGTAGAGCTGTGTGGCTTTGGCTCAGTGACTCAACCTCTCTGTGCCTCCATTCCTTCTACGTAGAATGGGCTAAGGTAAACTTTAAACTGGATAAAGAGCACCTGGTGCCAAAGTTGAAAACACCCAAATGTCTCTCCATGGACGAAGATAAACAAAATGTACAAAATGTGGTCCACCCCTGAGGTGGAATACTATCCATCCCCAAAAGACAGGGAGTAGCTGGGCATGGTAGTGCACATCTGGGAGGGATTACATCTGTACTCTGGGAGGCTGAGGCAGGAGGATCACAAGTTGGAGCCCAGCCTGGGTGACTTAGTGAATGGGGTGGTGAAATGCTCAGAGGTGGGGCTGCACACTGCAGAGAGCTCTCTAAAAGCCATCAGCTACTTACTTTCTAATGCTTGATTTCGGGCCAAGCCAGGTCAGTGGCAGAGCGCTTGCCAGTATGTTCTAGCCCCTGGGCTCCATCCCCAGCACCAAAACCGAAAGGCAGAATAAAGCAATCTTATGTTATATTAATTTCACCTCAATTTAACAAAAAAGTTGAGCCAAAGTGGCTCTGCCCAGGAGCAGCAGAGGCTTCTTGCTGTTTATAAAAACAGCAGCGGGCACCTCAAGGTTAAGGACTGGTGTATTTTTTAAAGCTACAGATTTTTTTCCCTTGGTGCTGGGAATGGGACCCAGGGCCTCCCGGTGCCAGGCAAGCACCAAGTCCTGCCACTGAGCTAAGCCCCAACCCCTCAGCTACAGATCTTGATTAATACAAACCCCAGTGGGACAGGGGGTGCTGGGGGCACGGCTGGGCATTGGGATCACTGGTTCTCATCCCCCCCAGCTGCCTGGACAGTAAGCAGCAGTCAGTGAGAGAGCTGTTCATGCAGGCTGCCCAGAGGGCAGTGGAAAGAGGAAGGGTGTGGTCCCCAGACACCTGGTTGGCAAACCTGCTCCCCCCAATTGGTTGTGTGCCAGAGAGTTTGTGCACCTGAGCCTCAGTTTCCCTCCTTGTAAAAAGGGACCAAAGGCCAGGTATAGTGGTGCATGCCTGTAATCTCCTGGAGGCTGAGGCAGGAGGCTGAGGCAGGAGGATTGCTCTGAGTTCAAAGCCAGGCTGAACTACAAAGCGAGACCCTGTATCAAAAACCAAATTTTAAAAAGGACCAGAGGGTGAGCCGGCCATAGGAACCCTGCCATGCGGGATAGAGTAGCTGTTTGCAGGTTTCTGTGAGAGTCAGGAGGGGCCATGGGAAGGTGAGAGGTGCAGGGGAGGGAGGGAGGACAGAGGATGGGAGCAAAGAGGTCCTGCAGCCACTCACCCGGAGCACGAGCACGGAAGACCCGCACCCTCCTGGAGTCGGACAAGGACACACTCAGGACCAGCTTGTGTCTGTCGAAGAGCTCATCTGGGCCATCACATGTCAGCACGATGGGGGACATGTCCTGTAGGTCTGGGGAGCAGCCCCCTTGAGGCAACCCTTCCCACATCCCTCCAGCAGGACCCCCCTTCCTGCCCAGCACCTCTGTCACTACCGTCCAGCGACACCAGCTGGCTCCTGTTGAGATCAGGCTCCAGGGACCCACGGCTGTCCTTGTCACAGTTTACCAGCAGAATGGCCCCGTGGCCCTCAGGACCCCAGCGCCAGGTCTTCTGCAGCAAATCAAGAAGCTCAAGGTCAGTGGGACCAAGGGCTTACAGAAAGCGGCTCTGGGTACAGCCTGGGCCGGTTGCTAAGTTGGCTTGGAGACTTCCATATTCTGGGTTTGCTTAAAGATTTAAAGCTGGGTCACACACCTAGGGACTGGAGCTCTCAGGAAGGTGCTAGACCCACAGCCACCCCACCCTTGTGCAGTGAACAGCCTGTGTAGCCATCCATGGCAGCTCTGCCCCAGCTCATCCACAAAGCCTTGTGATCCAGGCTGCCTCTCTGGGGTCTTTTCCTTCTACCCCTCCCAGGACATCTTCCAGGTACTTCTTGTGGGATAAAGCCCTGAGCCCACCCCATTCTCCTCTTCCCTCTTCATGTTCTAATTGGGGCTGACTACCCTCGTCCCCCCAACGAGCAAGAGCTCATTCAGTCACTCAACAACATTTCATGAAGCACTCACCATGTTGAAGAGGTCCAAATACAGTTCCCAAAATAGAAAAAACAGCATGAAGGACAGATCCCAATTCCAAGTCACCACAGAGACCCCAGGGGGTGAGCTGTTTCCCGACAGTCACACAGGTGTGAGTTAACATGGACTTGGGCCATGGTGGCCGTTTCAGGATGAGCTCCCTGTGCTGTTGGAGGCCTCACCTTGTCCCCTCGGTGTCTCTTCACCTTGCCTGTGCGGCTGCTGTCGACATCAAGGGAAACATCTGGAAAGGGATGGGGAGCAGCCACTGTCTTCAGAGCCCTCATGTCCGGGGCTGGCAAGCTCAGGCTCCTCCTTGTCCCATGAGGCTCAGGAGCCCAGGCCTGGGGACCGTCCCCAACCTGGGTGGCATCTGTGATTCTGCTGTAGAGGCACCCAGGCCTTCAGCCGGGGCCCCTGACTGGCAGCTGGGGCCTGGCCCAGGTCCCTCGGCTGGGTCCTGCCATTCTCAGAGTGGACTGCTCTGGACTGTGGTTACCCAGCCACTTGGCTTCCACAGTTTCGTGCTGGGTCCTGCAGGTCCTGGCCGGCCCACAGAGACTCTGAGTGCTAGAGGCCTACTGGGCCCTCGCCAATGGCAGGGAAGTTTCTAGATTCTTGTGGCCCCAGCCATTGGATTCCGGGGGCCTCCACTTTGCCAAGCCCCTCTAACAGGCCCTGGGCACAGTCCCGGGACAGGACATACCCACTGCAGTCAGGTACAGCATGCTGTGGCCCAGGGGATCGTCTTCCTGGTGCTTGAAATATGACACCTTCACCTGTGGAACAGTCAGCCCTGAGCCCTGAGCCCTGAGCCCTGAGCCCGGGGCAAGGCGCCTCCCCGGAAAGGGCAGGGAAGGGGAGCCCTCAGTCCACGGCCCCAGATGGAAGCTGGTGCCGCCCTGGCCCTGAGCTGGGGAGCCAGGAGGGCTGGCCAGGTGGGAGATGGGAGAGGTGGGGCCTTGGAGGCGTCATCCGCACGCAGGCCGGGGATGAGAGGCGCATGCGCAGGTGCACAGAGAGGTGTGAGCGGTTGCGGTGCTGTGCGGCCTGCACATGCCGGGGCCTAGGGGCCTCTTGTGAGCCCTGTGTGCAGACTGACTGCAGGAGTAAGCAGGGTAGTGCTGAGTTGGAAGGGCAACCAGGCTCCTCTTGTCTCTGTGGGGTGCTGTGTGCCCCTGCGTGGGGCTGGGGGCTGGAGGGTCTGCGGGTTTGGTGGCTGTGGAGATGCTGTGCTTTGTGGCTGTGGGGGTGATGTGCGCATGCGTAGCCATGAGGGCTCGTACCTTGGGTCGGGAAAGCACGAGGGAGACCCAGCTTCTCACTCTGAGGAAGTGGCTCTCACCTTGAGGTCGTTTAAATCCTTACTGGCAGTGTCCACGGATATGACCACATCTACGTTGGCGTCCAGTGGCCAGTGGGCCTTGCCTGTGGGTTCTGTCACCCGTCTGGGATCGTAGGCCATTAAGACCTCCACCTTAGAGCTTGCAGAGACCCTGAAGGTCTTGGCATCCCTGGGCACATCTCTGGCAGAGAAGCAAGAGAGGAAGAGAGCCAGGGCTCAGGAGAGTGGCCACAGTGGGGTGGTGAGCAGGGGCTGCCTCTTAACAACTGCCCCAGGGACCCCCACCACCAAGCCTCACTGTGCTTCAGCCACACTGGCCTTCCTGCTGGCCCAAAAAGATGCAAGCTGTCCTGCCTCAGGGCCCTTGCATGGCCATTCTCTTTACATAGAAGGCTTTTCCTCGGTTTCCCCAGGGCTCACTACCTCAAACTACAGAGCTCTGCTTAAACATCACCTTCTCAATGAAGCCCTGACACTTCATTCAGCACCCCCCAGTTCTCCCCCTTTCCCCTTCAGCCCTTTTCCCTTGCCCTGTTTGTGGTCTGTCTCTCACTAGCTCAGCTCCGCCAGAGCAGGGAGTTTTGTCTGTTTTGCTCACTGCTGTCTCTTCAGTACTTGTGCAGTGCCTGGCAAATAGTAAGTGCTCAGTTTGCATTTGTTAACAAATGACAGGGTTCTTAATTCCAGCTGCCTTGCAGGGGTCTCAAGCCTGTCTGCTCTAGATGGGGTACAGCCCTGGACTGGCAGTGCCTGGTGCAACCTCTCCCTGCCCTCATACCCCATGTCCACCAGACATCCCAGAGCTCTGGGCTCTGGAGGGGCTGAGAAGCTCCTGTCAGCCTGGGCCCCTGCTGCTAAGCCTCCACCCCTTCCTCTTGACACTAGCTGCTCCCAGCACAGGAGCAGCCTTTCTGGACCACAAGTGCAGAGAAGGGCACCCTGCAGACTTGGGCTATAGGGCAGCAAAGCCAAGCCAACAAGGCCTTGGGGTGACATCTTGTCCTCCAGCCCCGAATACACATGAGCCTTCTGTGCCAGGCTCCAGCTGGTCTTAGGGATCCATGGGGAGCTCACACCTGGAGGGGAGTCCATGCTACATGTCAGGACTCCACCATCACTGTCATGTCCCCCTAGAGTGTCGGCCTCAAGGACATCACCAAGCTCAGGTCCACTTACAGACGTCTGCCTGACTACAAAGATGCCACTGGAGGGGTCCTTTTATATCCTTCCCTTGATCCTTTCCTGACCGTCCAAGAACCTACACAAATAGGCTTCTGGAGAAGCCATACCGACCCCCTGCCAACCGCTGCCGTGGTCACTCTGTTCCTTCAAACAGCAATGATGCTAACACTGGTCTACTCAACACTCCCTAGCTCCCCACAGCCTGCCAAGCAACTGTTATTATCCCCATTCCAAAGGCCGGGTAGGAAGGGAGAGGGCTACCCTGAGCCTCGAAGGCTGCTGGCTGGTGATGCCCCCTCCCCACACCCACAATCACGCCCTCTGCATCACCAAAGGCCAGGATACCCTGCAGGAATCCTGTCACCTTCCTGCCCTGCATCATGGTTTACTCCCATTTCCATAGAAACCCCGAGTCTTGTCTGACCTCCTGTTCCATCTCACACACCATACTGAGTCCTCTAGACCTTTGTACTCTCCCAGAAACCTGCTGCTCACAGTGGCTGTGGCCCCACATTGGGCCATTACCAGGAACTGGACCCACAGCAGACTCCCCTCTGCCACCCACTTGGACATCAGCTTACACCCATCCCGCCAAGGCCGCTAAGCTCCAGTGCCATGGAAGCCTGTGGCCCTGGGACTGAACCTGTTTCACCTGCTCCTCACTGTCCCCTTCATCCACCATTTCCATTCCATAGCCCGTAGGGCCATCACTCCCTTGTTCCAATCTCACCTGGCTCATCTTTCCCTCTGCCACAAGCCCAAGCTCAGCTCCCACGACAGTCACAGCCAGTGTTCTGTCACCCTGCACCTGAGACATGACTATAGCTCCCTGGGTTCATGACCTCTGACCTCCAGTGACCCCCTGATACTGCCTGGCTGTCCCAGGAAACCATTCCACACTCCTCTCCATAACCCCCTCTCCCCTCCTCACCGAAGCTGGTCACCTCCTCTTGCCACCACCTGCCTCCCAGCACACTAACCTCGAGCCTACATCCTACCTGCCCTACTGCAAGCCTCCGCCTAGGGCAGCCTTTCTCCATTTCCTCCACCCAGCAGGCAGATGTGCTACAAATGTCCCCACTCCTAAACCCAGGGTTCCCTTCAACAACCCCCGCATCTCTTTGGCGCCCTCTACCGGAACACTGTGTGGGGGTGTGACCCTGCAGGCCCTTTGGCTTCTGAAACCTGCCTCCAATCAGGCTTCCTTCCTTGCCATCAAAACTGCTCTGAGGGCTGGGGATTTAGCTCAGTGGTGCTGCTGCCTGCCTCGCAAGCGCAAGGTCCTGAGTTCAATCCCCCATACTACAAAAAACAAAACACAACAAAACAAAACTGCTCTGTACCAAAGCCAGGAGTACTCTGACTCTTGCTTGTTGATTGGCAGAGACCTTTGGTCCAGCTGATCATCTGTCCTCCTCGAAACACATCCCCACCTGGCATCAGGGACCCAAGCCTCTGCTTGTCCCCTCTCACTGCTCTACCCCCTGACCTCCAGGCAGAGGTGAGCTGGTGATGTTTGATAACTGGGTCTCAGTGGAAGGGGAATATGGATATATATCTATTATAAATTTTGTTGATATAAGTGATGTGCATCACACAATGTACAGGTAATATTAATATTGCTCTTTATTGTAAAATGCATCTCAGATTCCACAGAGTCCATTCACTGTAACCATAGCCAACCTGTGGTTGTACTGGAGTTGGATAATTATTTAAAAGATTCATTGCATCCCAATCTGCTAATTCTCCCAATCCACTTAATGTCACTAACTCTGGTGTGTGACATGAATGTGGATCCATATTTCTGCTGCTATTCACAAGTGAAATGAAAAAACTGTGTCCAACACCACTCCCTCAGGACCTTCTTTGCTGAATCATATAACTGGGGAAGAAAGCATCAGTTTTTGTGCTAAGCCCAGTGTAATGGCTGCAGACCAATACACATTTATGGTTCATTTGCATTAATGTTTCTCAATCATTTTCTCAAGGCCAGACAATCAAGAAGAAAATCAACAATAACAGCCTGCTGTGTAGGCTTTGCCAACTTTTGTGGCACAAATGACTCCACTACTAAGCCGGGGATTTAGCTCAGTGGTTCTGGCGCCTGTTTCGCAAGCAGAAGGATCCAAGTTTGATCCCTGGTACAAAAAAAAAAAAGCAAAACAAAATGACTCCACTGCTGCCTGGTTTTAAGTTCCCAGCCCCACACCATTGAACTACCCTTGAACTCAGACAGGGTGTGGTAAAATAGCAGCCTATTACTTAAGTATTTCCATCATGTATAAATAATATAGAATGCAGTAAAATAATTAGGAAGTGTCTTCCATACTTAGTACCTTTGTTTTTAAAATCCAGACAATTCCCTACTTAATTATGATGGATGGTTCAGCTTAAGACTTCCGACTTTACCATGGTTGGGAATGCATCCACCCAGCGTTCTGTTTTTCACTTTCAGAGCAGTAGTCAATACATGACGTGTGACACTTGACTCCATAATAAGACAGGCCTTGTATTAGCTGATGGTAGCTAGAGGAGGGGTTCTGAACATGTGTAAGCCAGGCAGTGCAGTGCTCCGTAGGTGAAGTGTATTCAATGCATTGACTTAATATACTTTGATGGGTTTGTTTTGGGACCTAACCCCTAACTCTCTGCCTCAGGAGCCGCTCCATCCTATGTCCCCTCGAGCCCCCTTCTACTCCCCAGCTCACTTTCCTGCTCTTCCTCCACACTTCTCACCTGCCCGTCGTCCATCTGCCCCTCTAGAATGCAGCAATTTCTGCTGTTCTCTCTGAGACACTGCTGCATCTCAGTGTCCAGCTCAGAGCACAATAAACACACTACAGATGAGGACTGTGGCTTTGTCAGGACTGCCCTGGAGCTCCAGAGTGCTGAGTGGGGTTGGACCCAGCCTGCCTGGCTCCACAGCCCACCCAACACATTCCGAGAGAAAGTAGACACGAGCCCAGCACACCCAGGGAGCAGCAGAAGGGTTTCCAGCTTGTGGGAGACCCTGCTTCACTCCTCCCAGGGGCTGCCTCTGCCAGACATGGCAGGGCTGTGGGGAGCTGTCCCCAGCTCTGGACAAAAGTTGACACCTCCAAGTCACAGCCCTGATGGTACAATCCATTTGGAGTCTTGATCGAAATAATAATAATAATAATGAAAGAGGAGGAAAGTAAAGACAGGCCACAATTCCCTAGCCTTCTGCAGGGTGGATTTGCTCCCTCCTCCCCAAACTTGCTCAGTGCCTCCTGCCTCTTTGGGCTGCTGGGCTCCTGTACCCACATGCTTCACAACCTCACCCCGATACCTACAGGTGCCAGGTGAAGTACAGGCAGGGGTGGCTTCTGCAGTGGCAGAGGAGGGGGCAGAGACTGGGGCCACTTAGGCTCCTCCCAGCCCCTGGGATGGGCCTGCTCTAGCCCCCTCCCCAGGCCTGGGGTGCAGTCCTGGCTGTCCCTAAACTCAGGGTCAAGTGCAGTGGCAGGTTTGAAAGTTCCCCTTGAAATGAAAAGGACCATAATTCTGACCATGGAGGGGTCCCCATCCCTGTGTCACCTTTGTCACCATTCCCATTGTTCTGCTGAGGATCCACCCACCCCTCCAAATGCCACCCCCTCTAGAGCCTCCTATGGGCTCTGTGTGGAGTGTGGCCTCCCCGGTCTCCGCTGAGAAGTGGGTATAATACAAATGCCCACTTTTAGGGGTGGAGGAGGGTCCAGTAGGGGATGCAGTTCAAGCGCAGCCCTCACTGGGGTCAGGCAGTATCACCACCATTACTGAGACTCTTCCCAGAGCCCCCAGAGGCTCTCGCATTCCTACCGGACCCCTGTTTCTTCCCCACAGCCCGGGCAGACTTCCCTCCGACCCTTCCTGGTCATCTGTGGCACCCAGGCCCAAATCCAGCCTGATTCACCGCCCTTACAGAGCTTCAAAAGTCAATTTTAAAGAATCTCCCAGAGGCGGCCGAGGGCAGAGTGGGATGGTAAAATCAACGTAATCCCAACCCTGACTGCTTCACCAAGGTGTGTGACCACCTCTGGTTGTGGCATAGGGTGGCATGGGCCACAGGTACCATCTACTCTGCTCCAGGCACACACTTGGTTTTCGACACCCATGATCCCATCTGTCCTTCACTACAGCCTCCAAGGGAGGTGTTACTGTCCCCATTTGGCAGATGAAGACATCTTCTCAGAGTGGATGAGTAACTTTCCTCTGGTCACATGGCTGGTAGAGGGAACGGGGAGCAGCAGCTTTGTCTTCTCTCATGGGCTTGCCTGACCAATATTCTGAGTGCCCTGAAAATGCCCCATCAGGCTGGAGGTGCTGGGGATGTAGGGAGGAAGCAGGAAAATGTCTGAACTGTGCAACACAGCTCCTCGGGAGTTCCTTGGAAGGTGCTGGGGACACCTGACTCAGGGTGGGGACTTTTCTGGTCGGTAGGAAGCCACTTTTCTGGTCCTTACTCATGCACTCAGACCTTGCAGTAGCAAGGTGAGTGCAGTCAGTGGGGTGGCACCTATGACCTTCCGGTCGCTGCCTGCTCTAGGATGACAAGATATGCATATATGCTGGGTCACAGGACCTTGGGAGTCATCCTGGCTTCTGAGCTTGAACACGGTGTGACAGGCAGCTCACTACTCATACCCCTCCCTGCTTTGACAGCTCTGGCAATTAGAAAGTCCTCCCTTTTGCCTGGCTGCAACCTTCCTCTCCAAAGCTTCCACCCTCAGTGGCTTGGCAGGCCACACCCCATCTCGGGCTAGGACATTCACCAGCTGGTCTCCAGGGAGAGGAGAGACATGGCATGCCTTGCACCCGAACCTGCAGTTTGGACATCGCCAGTCCCTGGGGACAGGAGCTGGGTGTATGTGTGGGGACTGGGGACCTATGTGTCCTTGGGGGTCGTCAGAGCACTGTGCCAGGGTTGGGGCAAGAGGGGCAGAACAATGCAGAACCAGAGGGCAGGGCTAAGGAGCACACCAGACCCCAGGCCTTTGCTTCTCCTGCTCAGCAGGAGCCCCTGATATGCCAACATCCAGGTGTTCCACGCTTCAGGTTTCATGGGCTGAAGCAGGAAGAGAGGTCGAAGCCCCTCCCAGCGGGACCTGGCAAGTCCCTCCGGTGCAGCCAGCTCCACAAGTGGCTGGGCAGGAGCTGAAAACAAGGCTGGCAGCTCCACAGCAAGGTCGTCCAATCCCCCGTCCTGTCCTGGGCTCAGGGACCACAGAGAGGAAGGGCCACCAGCCCAGCCTCTGGGAGGCCCCCAGCAGGCCGCAGAGTCCTTACTGCATCTCTCTTCCACCCGAGCAAGTGAGTTATTTTTCCCCCACTTTACACAGCAGAACTAAAATGTAGACAGTGGTCACAAAGGGCCACAGTGGCAGAGCTGGGGTTTGACCCAAAGATCACACACTGCCCCATTCCCACTGCACCCCTCACACTGACCCAGCAAATTCCCAGATGATGGGCTCTCTCAGCATCAGGCTCGCAGAACCTGGAATCAGGCAAACCTGGGTTCAAATCCCAGCTCTAGCATTTGTGTGCTGTGTGACTTCAGAAAAGCCTTTCAACCTCTCTAAGTCTCTGTCTCTTTGCCTGCAAAGTGGGGCTCATAGTTGTCCCTGGCTGACCTTTTCTCAGAAGTCTGGCATCACAGAGGGCATGGCTGAGTCCTCTCCCTGCAGATATCAATCAATTGATCATGGGCGCTCTGTGCCCTGCCACTCCTCAAGGAGGTCACACCCAGGGAAGCCAGAAGGAGGGCCCAGCTGGCCAGGCTTTCCCTCAAGGGAACCATGCCCTGCAGAAGGGGACAGCTGTCACTCACTGGCATTCCCAGCAGAGGCAGAAAGGGACTGGGAACCAGTGCATGCTGAGAGAAAGGACCCCAAGTTTAAAGCCGGCCTCCTGAGTCACTTCTCCCCTCCCCTGAGCACACCTATGCTCTGTGGATTATAAAATTCCTCATCTGTAAAGTGGGGGAAATAAAGGTGCCAACCTCACAGGTATAAACAACAGGTGATGTCATCCCCACCTAGCGTGGGAGAAAACAGGCTCAGAGAGACTAAGTGATTGGCCAAGTTCACACAACCTGTGAGGACCAGCCTGGCCCCAGCCCAGAGTTATGACTACAGGCCATCCTGTTCTCTGCAGCCATCTCACTGGCTCTCCCATGTCGGGGGCACCTCTCGGGGACAGCCACTTTCCTCCTTCCAGGGGTCCACATGCCCCAGCCCATGCTGTCCTGTGCCCAGCAAGCTTGGTGCCAGGCAGGCTTGGCCCACAGCTGCCCTGTGCGCCCATTTCAGCTGGCACAGGCCTGATACCTGGACAAGGATGGGGGACACAGCAGGGTCGAGAATGTGGCCAGGAACGTGCTTATTAGCAGGGCTTCGGGTGGCCCTGACTCCTATTTGGAAGGACCAGGTTCTCTGCTCAGGAGCCAGGGTGAGTTTGGAAGCACAGCTTCCTCAGCACCAGCCCAAGGGCCTGGGTGCCAGGAATGGCAGCCTTTGGGACACTGGCTTTTCTGCTCACAGCTGGGGCTCCCTCCCGGGCGTGTGGATTTGCAGCTCATTCCAGCTGCCTCTCTGGGAAGGACAACTTGGCAGAGCTGAGCAACCACAGAGAAGACAAAGAGACTTCTCTTTACAGAGTGGAGAGGACAGGGTCGGGGGAGGCTGCTTCCCTCCACTCATAACGCCTCCAAACTCCTCCTGGGGTCCAAAGTGAGAGCTGCCTGGCTGATCCTGGGCCTCTTGTCCAGGAAGGGTGGGAAGAGCTGTGCAACTGGGCCTGGGATAGGAAGAGGAGATGGGCAGAATGAGGGGCATCCAAAGACTGGCAACCAAGAAGCCACAGGAAAGGGTAAGGGTAAGGGAGAGGTGGGGCTCCCAACCTGTCCGAAATGGTGGGTGGTGAGGGGGTCCAGGGAAGCAGGGACATCTGTAGAACTGTGGGGTGGGGGGACCTGGCCTCTCAGAGCCTTCCTGGTGCCAGGACCTTACATCCCAAGAACACCCAGATTTGACACCCCTGGGGTCCCATGGAGGTGTTCTCCTCTGCTTCCTGTGGTCCAGGAACCCTCAAACTTCAGCTAGGAACCTGACTGCCAAATAAGGGTGTCCTTGTGGACAGGATGGAGCAAGAGGAGAGGGTGTCACAGCCTGGTGTTCACTGGGAATTAGGAATTAGAGTCGGCACCAGTCTTGTAATTACCACCAGAGGAGCCCAATTAAGCTTCATTGTAGCTCTGCATTCAAAGCATTCATTTACTCTGTGTAAACAATAGGAAAGCATCCCCACTATACTGTACAGCTCTGCTGTGCCATCCTTGGTTTGTGAAACACAGGGAACCCCAGAAAATGCCTTTGTCCAGCCCTCTGCAGCTTGTGTGAGGGCCCCCAGCAGCCTCTCTCCCTGAACTCGACAGTCCTGCCGCTTTCCCAGCTGCAGTCTGTTTTGCCTTAGCGGTTTTTTTGCAGGCTGAGGAAGACTTGGGAGAAGTGCAGAAGAAAGGCCCCAGCTCCTGCCCAGCCAGGCTTCTCCATCCCAAAAGACAAATGTTCACTGTGGCCTCCAGCTTCAAATCCTAATTTGGGCCTCAGAACAAGCAAGGGGGACCATTCAGACCAGCAATGGATTCCCCATGATGCCCAGCACCACTTTATTGACCTGAGCCTCTGGGAGCCACCTGAAGTCCCCAGGCAAGAACAGGGTCATCCAGGACAATCCAACAAGATCCAGGGAGCCCAAATGGAGAGCTAGCCCACTGGGGAAAGGACTCAGGGTAGTGAGGCAGCCCATTGAGGGGAGGACTCAGGATGGAGAGCTAGCCCACATGAGAGAAAGGTTCCGGATGGAGAGCTAGCTTGCTGGGGTGTGGGGTTCAGGTAGAGAGCTAGCCCCCTTGGGGGAAGGACTCAGGGTGGTGAGCTAGCCCACTGGGGTATAGAGTCAGAGTGATGAGCTAGCTCGGCAGAGTGGAGCAAGCGGGTGGAATCTGTAGCAGGTGCTGAATCAGGAGAGCCCTAAAAGGCTTCCTCAGGCTGGGTTACCCCCGGCCACACAATTATCCCAAACACAAATATATCTCCAAATAACCAGTCCATGCAGCCCCCAGGGAGTGAGTCACTTCCTGTGATGTCACCTTGCACACCCATCTCCCAGAGGGCCCAGGCTCCGGGCAGTTCCGAGGACCTGCACACCTCTCTGGGCAGCTTTCCTGCTCCTACCAGCAAGGTGGATTATAAACTCCCTGCTTGGCTTCAGCTAGAGCCCAGAACCTGGCAAGGGGGTGGGGTGCCCCGAGCTCATCAGCCATCATCAAGCACAGCCCATCTGCCTGGCCCACCACCCCTGGAGCAAGATTCAGGCTCCTTGAGATCCCCCAGGTTCCCACTCCAACCATCATACACCCCACCAGCAGGAGGCTTCTGAGCGCTGCAGTGTAAACTCTCGGCTCTGGTTTGGTCTCTCAGCATCTGACCCAAGTGCCCCACACCTAAGGTGGCCATCTCCATGGGCTGCCTCCCTCCCAGCATCAGGCAGGGGATGGTCGCTGCCACCCCCAAGCCACTTCCTGTGTCCTCACCTGGCAAGATGCTCTGCAAGGTCCCGAGGCCTTTGGTGTCCACTAGAGAGCTTTGCAGACAGCATGCCCCGTGCTCCTGCCACACACACCCTGCACTGTCCTCGTCCCCTGCCACCTCTGAGGAGCAATGGGAAGAGCAGACATGTGGGAGGGAGCCCCCAAACCCCGGCCCAGGGCCCCCAGAGCTGGGAGCACTTCCCCCTGCCAGGGCACCCACCAAACAATGGGCCCTATATGTGCATAGTCTCACTTCTTTCCCAGATCCATTAAGGTCTGCACTATTGCTTCCCCATTTGCCAGATGCAGAAATGGGCTCAGAGAAGGGCAGCAGCTTGCCCAAGGTCACACAGCCACGCATGAACAGTGCCAGGATGAAAAGATGAATCTGCCCACCTCCAGAGTCTGGGGTTTTGCCCCCATGTTGAACTGCAGAGGGGACCCAGCTCGTCTCCTCAGGTTCAGAAATGAAGCCCAGAGGGGGCCAGTGACTTGGCAGTGAGTCGGTAACAATACTAGAACCAGAACTGAGATTTTCTGGCTCCCTGTCAAATGCTTCTGGCCTTAATTAGCAGCACAGCAAAAGCCCTGAGGTTCTAAAAGTGCATTCCTGAAACAACCCCAGCCTTGGATGACAGCAGGGAATCAGACAGGTAGGGCCCCCAAGGACACCTTCCCCACCCTGTGTATTAAAGTAGGATTTCCAGGTGCGAGGCAGGGTAGATGCCTGCTTACAGCGTAGCCTCAGCTAAGCAGCAGATTTTTGTGATGTAAGTAGGTCCCATGCAATTCATTTAAAATATTTTCTGAGGGCTGGAGGTACAAATGGTGGAGCACTTGTCTAGCACCCATAAGACCCTAGGTTCAATCTCCACACCAGCCAGATTTGGTCACGCATGTTGTACAGATCCCAGCACTTGGGAGGCTGAGGCAGGAGAATTGCTGTGAGTTTGAGGCCAGCCTTGGCTACACAGTAAGTTAAAGGCCAGCCTGAAATAATAGCGAGACCCTGTCTCAAAAAGCGAACAAGCAAAATCTCTAGCACCACACATGCATACACACACATATAAACTCTATTTGATCTGAAATTTAAGCTTCACTAGGCATTCTGCATTTTCACTCACTAAATCTGGTGGCCCTGTGTTAAAAGGGTAGGAGGAAACAGGATCTCCTTATGGGTCGAGGTCCAGCCCTCAGGGTTCCTAACTTTTCTCCCTATCTGATCGCTTGGTCCCAGGCCAGTGCCCAGGAGAGGAACAGGGAAAGCTCCAGGGCATAGGCTCAATCTGAGGCCAGGTGGGAAGCTGGGCCTAGCACCCCTTCACTGGTCTGGGCAAGCACAGGGGTTCAGACCCAAGAAGGTGATGGGAGCTCAGCTCCACTGGTCACAGGCCCCCAGTGGAATCCAGCCTGTCAAGCCTAACTCCTCAGTGGCAAGTGAGGAAACTGAGGCCGATCCAGGTCCCTGAGTCCCCACCTAGACAGGTCCAGGATGATTTGAGCCCACAGGAGAAGCTAATATTATGGCTGCCTCGCTCCCACGTCATCACAGCCACTATCGCAGTTACCATCGTCACCACCATGGTCATCATCATCATCATCATCACGGTCTCATGCCGTGCCCCAGGCTCACTTCTTAGATTGTCGTTGAGTTTCCTTAGCCTCTCCCCTGATCCCAGTCATGCCAGTTCCCTGTCTGGGCTCCAGGATCAAGCTGGTGTGCACACCTCTCACTGCAGAGAGATGAGGAGTTGGCGAGAGATGGGGGATGGAAGGGGAGGCTCGGTCCCCAACCCATCCCGAACCATTCACTCTGATGGCCCACACAAGCTCTGCTCGGATGTCAGAACACAATCCAGAATCCAGAGCCTGGCTCCAGGGCACAGAATTGGAATCCTGAGGCTGGACCCTTCCTTGTTCAGGGGCCGGAGGCCAAAGTCCTAACCCCAGTGCCCAGGAGCCAGAGCCCAGGTGCACCTGACCAGACCCTCATCCCTCTCTCCCACCTCCACAGCCAACTCCACCTTCTCTGCTGTCAAACAGCCTCCTACTGCATCCTCACCCTTGACAAGCCCAGCTGGTTCCCGGCACGGCTGCCCATTGCCTTGGGTCCCCAGTTCAAGCACAGCCCTGTGCAGCCAGGCAGGTGCCTCCCCGTGGCTCTCACCTGTGGACGTTCACCAGCATCTCAGCTCCCACCACACACACAGCGTAGGTGGGTTTCTTCAGGGACAGTTGCACAGCTCTCCTCGGGGCCATCCTGTCCGCCACTCCCACCTCCAAGGACAGCTCTGGCACCCGGTGGCTGCACGCCTGACTCCCGGCTTCTCCCGGGCACCTGGGCACCAGGAAGGAGTGTGAATTCTGATGGGCTGGTGCTCCTCTCCTCCCTTTTAATTTCCCCCTGCAACCTGGTTAGCCTGCCTGAGCCTTGTCCCCACCTCCTGGCTCCACGCCCGGTCCTCTTTACTCCTGGGCTGTCAATCCTGGAGGCCTGGGGAGGAGGGGCTCTAGACTCTGGCAAATGGAGAAGTGGGCTTCCCTGGGGACCCTGGGTGGAGCCTGGCTCCCCAGCTGCCCCTGCCCCCACCTGTAGCTTTGCCTCTGTCCACAGACTCGGTGCCTGAACCCACACCAACGCTGTCAACGTTTCTGAGGGCTGACTGTGTGCCCCATGCCAGCTAAGCAGTTGGCAGGTCATATCTCCTAAACTGAGGTCAGGTGACATCTAAAGCACAGTGGAGACAGGTGGGAAATATAAAAATGACATAAACATTTATTTGGTTACTTCTGATTTTGAGGTTTGTTCTGGAGTGATCTTTCTTACTGCCAACACCTTTGATTGCTGTAAAGCTCACTGCACCCAAAGGTACTAGGTTTATCCTGTGAATACAGCAAGATGACACTTCAGATGGCTCCTCCATCACCCCTTCCCCAATTAACCAGGACCTGAGTTATTTTATTTAATAGCATTTCTTGACATAAACCCATCCCTTTCACATGGACTATAGTATGGAGTATAAAAAAGTAGGTTCCTAGAGAGCACAAGAGGTGTTTCCATTAGAGAAGGCTGACTGGATGGATGGATGGATGGATGAGCTGATGGGAAAGAGGGAGGAAGGAAAGGAGGGAGGACGGCAGGTTGGTGCATAAAGATGATGACAGGAGTGTCTGGGTTCAAATCCTGACTCTACTTCTTACAACAACCAATGGCCCTCAATTTATTTAGGCTCTCTGTGACTCAGTTTCCCCATGTGTAAGATGGTACGTGTAAACATAGGACCTTCTGCATTGGGTAGGTGTGGAGAAGACATGAGGTTCATGTAAGAGGCTTAGCACAAAGCCTATGAGAAGTGCTGGTCCCCATTACTCATGTCCTCACTTGACAGGTGAGAGAATGGCCACATTCAGGTCACACTGCTAGTAAGTGGCAGGGCCTTAACTTGGTCCACCTGACTCACTGCACTGAATGACCACAAGTGTCAGAGGTGGCAGAAACCAGTCTTCATGGGCACCCTTGACCAGCCAGAGAGGAGGGAATGTGACCAGGAGCTCGGAGTGTGGGACTGTGGAGCACTGTTTCCCCTCTCAGGGGCACAGGTTCTGAGCCCGTGCTGTAGTTTTTGGGATTTCATTCACTCATTTCTCTAGTGTTTGTTGGGCATCTCCTATGTGCTGGGCACTCTAGGTAAACCCAACAAACCATGATCCCTGCTCTAATGCCCTTGACATTCTAGGGGGGTTGCCTAGACAAATAAGCAAATAAGCAAAGCTCAGGGAGTAAAGTGTGCATACCATTAGTCAGTGCCAAGAGGTTCTTCAGTCTTCTAGGTGGGGATGATGGTGCCTTGATCCCAAGGGTAGCAGTGAAGCAGTGAGAGGTGGTTGGATTCTACATGGACTTTGAAGACATTTGCTGATGGATTGGATGCACGAGGTAGTGGGGAGGGAACCACAGATAACTGAAGCATTCTGGGCCCAAGCAACAAGAATGGCATCAGAGAGATGGAGAAATTGGGCACTGGGCAGGAGCTTGGCTATTCTGTACTGGGTTTGCCAACCACCAGGGGTCTGTGAGACTGGTATGGAGACAAGTAGTTGCAGGTGACACGTTCCCTTCAAGTTGAGCATCAGGGTGACAGAGTCACAGAACATGCCTCCTCAGCCATGCCACCTCACATCAGGTGGCCACTGTGTAGACGGAAAAAGGGACCGATAAACCAGAACTCTGCATTCAGGTCCGGGAGGCAGCAAAGGCAGAGTCAGAGAAAAGGGGACCACCCCCTGAGGGGGAACTGGAGGCCCACAGTCCCTGCCTCCAGGAACCTCTCGCCTACTTAGGAAGTGGCAGAAACATTATTTTGATTATTTTTTATTTTGAAGATCTTTCTGGAATGACCTGATTGGCAAATGTTGCTAATCTGCCAAGTCCATCATATCTGAAGGCACAGGGCTAAGTCTAGATTTAGGCTATGGACACACAAGAGGGCAAAACAGCACTTCAGGATGGCTCTTCCATCACCCTTACCCCGAACCCAATTAGCCAGGACCTGAGGCACTTGATTTAATAGCATTTATTGAGTAAACCTGTCCACTTCACATGGCGTGTAATGAGGAGCATAAAGAGTAGATCCCTAAAGAACACAAGGCCATGTTCCCATTAGAGAAGACTGGATGGATGGGTGGGTGGGTGGATGGGTGGGTGGATGGATGGGTAGATGGATGGACAGATGGGAAAGGGACTCAGGCAGGTTGGTACATAAACAGCTATCTTCGAAGATGATGCTGATGGTGCTAGTGGTGATGCTGCTGACCCCATGATATCACTCAGGGCCATGATCAAGCAGGCACAGATACAGCCGAGGGCCAGAATGTGGAAGCCCCTTCTGTGTATTCATATTCATCCATCCAATCTTCACAGTGGTACTGAGTGACAAGTGCTGATGGAGCCAAGAATCCCAAGTTCAAAGAGACCACCCCATGGGGGGATGGATCGTGCCCCTTGCTGTGCAGAAAGGGCAGGGACCCGGTCTTGATGTCTCCCAGGATGTATTTTCAGGGCTGGAGGGAAAAGGAAAGGAGGCCAGGCAGGCTGCAGAGGGGCAGTAGGGAGGCCAGGAGAAGGATTCGTGTATTTCGCCTTCACAGATGAAGGAACTAAGCCACAGAGAAATTAAATGGCCCTCCCAAGGTTTGTGGCTGGAAGTTGTTTCAGACACTGTTGGTATCCAGGTCATGTTGACCCTAAGTGGGCTCACAGTTGTCAGCAAGATCCCTAAGAGGTAGAATACCTTGTACTCTTGACCTTCTTCCTCATGCCTTTGTGCATTGTTTGAACAGTTGCCATGAACAAACAGTATTTGTAGTCTCAGGGGAAATTACAAGCAACTTCATGATCTCCCTTTGAGAAAAATAGGAAGAATTTCCTCCTCTTGGCCTCACTCTGCACCCCCTGTGCCCCTCCCTGCCTCTCTTCCTTTTTCTTTCTCTCCTGAGAATATTTCCTTGGAGAAAAGGTGCCCTGCCCGGGCCCCTGCCCTGTCTACAGGCACATCCTGTACACCCCTCTGTGGTCTCTTTGAACTTGGGACTCTGGGCCTGGCAGGTCCAACCTGGAGGAAGTGGGGGTGGGGGGATATGACACCACTGCCCCCTATGCTCCGGCAGGTGGTACAGCCAGCTGGGAGGGCCTGTCCCTGTCAGCGGGACAGGCAGCCCGTGCAGGTGCAGGAGCAGCCAGCTGCCCGAGAATTGTGGGACTCTCAGTTGACTCTAGCATGTCCCTGAACAACCTAGGGAAATGACAGCAGGTAGGGTGTCTGTTCCTGGCCTCATTTTCTCTCTTCCTCAGCAGCTTTGGGAACACCTACCATTAGACGCCAGCCTAGGGACACAACTGTGACAAGATAACCAAGCGCCTGTCTTCACAGAGCATGCAGAGCAACAAGGCACCAGGGAGTACTCCAGGAGGCGGAGCCTCAATGGCCCAGTAGGAAGGAGGAGGGGACAGGAGCATGGGTGCTGTTTTGGGCAGGTTGACAAGAGAAGGCCTCACTGAAGGAAGGACTCAAAGGATCTGACAATGAGACCCTTCCAATCCTGGGGAATCTAGGTACCCAGGGTTCACTGGATACTCCCAGCCCTCAGTTTTCTGCTCATAAACGGGTATTGAGCTAGATCAATTTCTAAACTAGATGCCCTCAGGGGGCAGGAGACACTGTACACGTGTGGAGCTGCTAGGTGTGAGACAACAGAGGGTGACAACTGTGGCCATCAGACACAGCATGCTTTGTCTAACCAAAAGCCAGCATTCCTTAAAAAACAAACTGTGGGTACTCTTGGTCCGACCTGGCCCTTAAGCCATTAATTTGGGACCTCAGCATTGACTGGCATAGACGGCCGGGTGAACAGGGCTGTGGAGGGAGGGGCTCTGTCTGTGGAGGTCATTGGGTCCCCAAGAGGGTAAGCAACCTAGGCACAGCTGAGCTTCCCACCCACATGCTCATGGAAGTCACCTGCTGTGACCAGTCAGAGTGGTTCTGGCTGCTCCCATGACTGCCAACTCCAGCTGTGGGCCCTCCCCACACACACATGGCCCATGCCTCAACTTACCTAAGACAGCGTGGAAGAAGGTAAGGGGTCAGAGCCCAGGTGTCCGGACCCCCAGTCGTGTGGTCATTTTCCGCCCCCAGCACCTCTGGATACCATCAGGGCATTTCTACCTGCTCCCCAGAATCCTCCAACTTTGGGCTGGAAGGACCCCCAAGGCTCAGAGGAGGGACAATGACTTGCCCAAGGTGAAACAGTGAAGTCACAAAAAGCCAAGGCTGGACCCAAAGTTTTCATTTATTCATTCATTCATCAAATACCTATTGGGCACTTGTTGTATATAGGTGCTGTTCTAGAGGTCAGAATTTGAGACAGACGCTGAGTGGTCTCTGCTTTTCATATTGACACCCTTCAGTGGGATCCCCCAGGTAACCCCAAACCCTTTCTGTTGCCCCTGGCACCCAAGACTGGATCCTGGGCCTCTTGGCAGATTGGGGGGAGGGGTCCCTCGGGGTTCTGACTCGGCAGTCATGAGAAAACAATGTATCCCTGATTCCCACAAGGTGGGGGGCCTGGGGGCAGTGGCCCTCATGGCAGGAAAGGATGAGGACCATGAGTCATCTGACTCAATCTGCATGGTCCCCTCTGACCTGAAACCCAGGCCCAGGTCTCTGCTGAGCACTGTGGAATCATGAGCTCCCTCTCAGGTCTGGGGGCATCCGAGGCTCCACGTGGTGGCATCAGCAGGGCTAATGACACCGTTGGCAGGGCAAGGCTGGCATGGTGCAAGCCCTGGCTGAG